CCAGACCTCACTAATGCTCTTGTGGCTGAATGCAATCAAATCCTCTCAGCAAAGTTCCAACATTGAGTTTAAAGCCTTTATAAAAGAGTAGAGGCTGTTACTGCAGCAAAGGGGGACAAACTTCCTGTTAATAGCTTTGATTTCAGAAGAAACGATAGGTGTCTACAAACTTGAGCATAGCGTAGGTCTCAGGGACGGACCCCAGACCCCTTTTTGGGTTTGGTTTCCCTCAATGTTGGCCGGGGCACTCAGGGCATCGAGCCGTCTACAGCACACATCTCCTATTGATACCCAGCTCACACGGCATAGAGAGGCTTTTCAGAGGGAGTCGGGAAAGAAGGCTATTGATCACTCAGAAAGCGGGACGTGCCGTAGCAATGCTTAGAGATCTCACGATGCAGGAAAATCCACCATTCTGATTCAAGTTTCTGAGCTTTTGGTGAGGGGGAAAACGGAATTTTCTTGATCGTCTATCACATAGTCGACATGAAACAGCAATGAACTGGCTCTGCTTATGTCTGCTTAAGCAAAAAAAAAAAAAAAGATATTAAACGTTTTATGGTAGGAAAAAGGGGCAGTTGATCAGTTGACCTTTGGTCATACTCCTAAACGTCTAAACCTAATCGTGGTGGTTTCTGGTAAAGAAAATGTCAAAAATATCAACAGTTAATGGCACTGTCGGAAAAAAAGCATCCTTCATGACCTCTGTTTTCCATTCTTATTACTGAAAAAACCCTCCAACAACCTCTATTTTGCAGCAAGCTGATTCAGACTGTGAGCAATACGCCAAGTACAAGGGATAAAGACATGCATTTATAGTTCATTTATTAGCGCTGGTGCCAAGGCTGGCACTCAGATGGCAGAAGAAATAAAACAAACTCTGTCTTTGCGCTGTTTTTACAGTATTTCTCAACACTGATACATAAACTACACATGTGCAGTAAACATCTGATAAGCATGCACAGCAACGAATGCACAATAACGAATTAAAAGCCTCAAACAGCTGCACTAACCTGCATTAAAGGAATATTCCACCGTTTGTTCAATCTAATCTCAATCTGCTGCATTTGTAGCACACAGTCAATTACCACAGACAGTAATTTCGACATTTCGCTTTACATACAAAAAAATCCCCTAGACTTAAAAGGCATTTTAATAGAAATCTTTCTGTTATAAGTGTATTCCAAGTGAACAGGTTTTCTTTTTTCTAAATACAGGAAAGCACATCAAAATTACTGTCCATAATAATTCATGCTACAGCTTAAAACAACAGAGAGTGCAGGAAGAAGGTCTAAGGATGCACCGATATGAGAAAGGTGGGATAATGCCTATCGCTGATATTTTTCTTGAACAAATCTGCTGATGCTGATACATAAACATTTGCAAAACATAGACATTAGGATTACATCTACATGGATTAGCAAAAATTATAGACACATATAAGATTTATTTCTGAGGGGTTACAAATGCAGTAAAATGCAGATATTTTAGCATATTAGCCTGATGTCGCCAAAGTGTTGTGTTTTTCCAGGGTACAATTAACACATCATCAAATATCAGTTTAAAGTATTGGACAAATCTTAACATCCGTCCAACGGTGATACTTATCTTTTAACCAGTTATCTGCTGATCATCGTGCATCCCTAGTTTGGTATACATGCATGCATATTTCTAGATGAAGGTGGTCAGGTAAAGCTCAAATAAACATTTGCCTAAGGCTGCACGATATGGACAAATTGATAGTATTGTCAGTAAACTGCTAAACAGAGCAATTGTGGCTTATATTAAAAAATGTATTGGGGAATCAATAATATGAACTGGTTAAGACAAATTATTTTGAAAGAAACAATTACATTCATTTGATACCTTGATTTGTCAAAACACTAACAGGAACACTCTGCTGAAGCTGTGATTGGTCAGGATGTGCACAGCACACAATAAAAATAAATAATAATAATTAAAAAAAAACGTTGGTTAAAGACTTGTTTGTCTGTTGTAGCCTTCAGAAAGAAGGCCAATATTGCAATAATGATTAACAAATGATGTATTATGCAGCCCTGGATCACACTGGACAAGAACTTGTGTTGCTGTTACTTTTCCTGGAAGGGAGTTCATGAAGTGAGACTCAAAAACCATGGCTGTCTATTAAAAGACATGAGGAACCTTCATGGTGGACCTGACACCAGAACATTGTGGACCAGAACAATTCCTGAACATCCATTTTTGGACCCACCAAAGAGAAACTGCAAATAGATCAGGCAAAAACTTAACCTTTCATAGTTACATACATAATTCACATTCTACCCACTCAATCTTTTCAAAACCATTCAGCTTTTTGCCGAAAAAAAGCCCACAAGAAAGCCATGCTGGGGAGCCAAATAAAACATTTTCACCATTTTGCTGCTGTGAAGGTTTTTAAACCACAATGCCGGTCCAGACGAAACACACGCAAATGCCTCACCAAGCATGAATAAATCATTATTATCTGTCTGATAAACTCACATACTACAGTTCTCGATACATACTGGTTACCCCAGCTCTCCGACAAAATACCAAGGGTGATGCTCCATTGTCAAGGCCTTTCCTTTCTTAAAATATAGCATGTGACCCTGTTCAACAGCTCATTGTGCAGATGGGCTTGTATTCACCTGACATGCTTAGCGAATTCATGCTGTGTAATCTGTCTGGCTGTAGCCTCACCCTGGAGAGATGTGGGCTGCTCCCTCAACATCAGTCAAAACAAAACAGTCAGACCCCTTCACTCCCAGGACAAAGGATGTTGTGTCTACTGAGATTTCCAATCAAATCATCATAAAAGAAACTCCCAAAAGACAGGCCGGTGGGCTGTTCTGCTTAGTCAGAGTGGGAGAGCAAGTAAGCACAGCACACTTTCCCTGAAGGGTCCCACGATGACTGTAACCATTATTTGACTGATATGATGAAGTATCGATTTTCTTCACCATATAACGATGGAAAGTACTCTTTTCGGCAGCATCCGAAAAAACATGCAACTGGAACCGGCGCCAAACAGAATCATGTAAATGTTGAAAGTTATAATCAGCTACAGCCAGAACCACAACTCTGTTAGCATTTGCATTTTAAAGCAGGTTTTCATTTCTTATTTGATATTAAATTTAATTTAGGATCATACACCGATATACAAATATGAGAGGGATAGATATACAGATGGATGACTAAAAACCCAAGCTAGCTATCTTGGGTAACTTGATAAACAGATCAAAACATTTTGGAATTTTCGATAGAAACTAAACCAACTGTAGCAGCTACAATAACTATAAATACTTAGTCTGAAACAACTATATCAGCTATAGAAACTACAACAACTATAGCAAGATAAACAACTTTAGCAAGAAACCAACAAAACTAAGAATGCTGGTAAGCTTTTTAGACATAAGATTCTTCAGTCTGCTCCCCAAATCAACTGATCTTAACTAGATGTATCTACATAATTAAAGATTATAAAAGAAGTAGTAAGTATTACTTGATTTGTATTAGGAATTTTAACAAATTAGTAAAGTTAAAAAAAAGTAGCAAAAAATACGTTTTGCAGTGTACATCATCTACATCGATCAGCATCTAAAGCAACCAACAGCAACAGCCTCAACTACAACATAAACAGCTACATCGATTAAACTTTAACAGCTACAGCAATTAAAACAACTAGCTATTAGGCTTACAACTGTAGCAGTGATAGCAGATGTAAGTACAGTAACTATAGCAACTGTAGGAACAATAACTGTAGTTTCTAAGAGGTCAGTAATTGTAATATCTATAAACATAGCAATTACAGCATTTCAATTGTGAAAACTCCCATGGTGACCAACTACAGCAACTACAACTATAGCAACCACAGCTGTTGTAGTATCTCCACAACTATTACTATAACAAATAACTACAGCAACTATAGCAACTACAGAAACTACAACAACTGTTAGCAACTTCACAACTATTACCATAACAAATCACTACAGCCACTAGAGCAACTACAGGGACCGCAACAGCTGTTAGCAACTCTACAACTATTACCATAGCAAATAACTACTGCAATAGTAACTATAGTACTTGTAGTAACTATTACTATAACAAACAATTATAGCAACTACAGGAACTACAACAACTGTTAGCAAATCCACAACTATGAGTATAACAACTAATTACAGCAACAGTAACTATGGCAACTATAGTAACTATTCATATATTTAACAAGTGCAACTATAGCAACTATAGCAACTACAGGAACTAAGTTACAACAATTGTTAGCAACTTCACAACTATGACTATAGCGACTAATTACCGCAACAGTAAATATGGCAACCATAGTAACTATTACTAGAACGAACCACGAGAGCAACTATAGCAACTACAGAAACTACAACAAATGTTAGCAACTCCAAAGCTAATGTTATTACTATAACAAATAACTACAGCAACTAGCTTAACTCATAAGAACTACAGGAACTACAACAACTGTTAGCAACTTCACAACTATTACTATAGCGACTAACTACAACAATTGTAACTATGGCAACTATATTATCTATTACTATAACAACTACAGCAATAACAACTACAAGAACTACAAGTGTTAGCAATTCCACAACTATTACTATAGCAACTAACTACAGCGACAGAAACTATAGCTAACTATCGCAAGTAACGACGTCAGTAATTGTAATAACCATAACTATAGCAACTAACGACGTCAGTAACTGTAATAACTATAGCCAGCAACTAGTTACAGCCCTGCAACAACTGTGGAAACTCCACAACTATCATCACCATGACGACCAACTATAGCAACTATCGTAGCTGTTGCTATAACAAATAACAACTACAGGAACTACAGCAACTATTAGCAACCCAACGACTAACAGTAACTACTATAGCAACTAACAACAGCAATAGTAACTATAGCAACTGTAGTAGCTATAAGTACAGCAAATGACCGTAATCATTACAAAAAGCGTTCCAGTTCGTACCTGTCAGGCGCAGTTTCACTGGCCCGTTTCTCCTGGCTCCTTGGTTAGACATTCCCCTTTCTTTTCCAGCTTGCCGTCCGTCTCTTTATCTTCTGAACCGTCTAGAGAGATGGAGCTGTAGCTGTGGCTTTCAGAAAGCGGACTCCTGCTCCTCAGGCTGCTCTTTAACGTTAGAAAGTGAGCGAAGAAGAACACACGGCATGCTGCTGCTGCCGCTGCTGCTGCTGCCCCGGATGTGCACAACCCAGCTCCCGCATTGACGCCAGCGTTACCAAGCAAATAAACGCGAAAAAAGAGCAACTAGTTTCAGCTAGTTCGCATTGTAATATGACGCCAGTCTTATTCTGGAGGAAACTTCTCGGCTCTATGAGGCTTAAAAGCAACCGTTTAGTCGTGCTCCGCGGCGAAGAGGCTGTGAGAGTGACCCATGCTGCTGCGGGACGGCCAGCTTTATTTTGCTCGGAGTTTAATTTCCACTTTCTGCCTCAAACAGTGTCTACAGCGACCTCGCACGGCTGAAGTGCTGCACTACACTGCAGTTCCTCAAGGGCAGGTCTGCTGAGCGGTTTCCACCTCAATCCCTGCCTGTAGTCTATGGTAAATGAAATAATGGATGAATGCGTAGCAGAAAAGTGAAAATAACAAAAAAATACATACATAAACGAATGAGTAGCAGAAAAGTACATAAAGTCGTTTATTTTTATATTATATACACCGATCAGGCATAACATTATGACCACCTCCTTGTTTCTATGCTCATTGTCCATTTTATCAGCTCCACAGACCCACCACCCAAATAGTACCTGCTCTGTGAGGGTCCATGGGGGTCCTGACCACTGAAGAACAGGGTAAAAGGGGGCTAACAAAATATGCAGAGAAACAGATGGACTACAGTCTGTAATTGTAGAACTACAAAGTGCACCTATATAGTAAGTGGGGCTGATAAAATGGACAATGAGCGTAGGAACAAGGAGGTGGTCATAATGTTATGCCTGATCGGTGTATATGGTGATGCTATAATGAAGTCCAACTGTTTTTGATATATAAAGACATTAGGGAAGATGATACCATAACCCAACATGAGTACTCTAGCTCACTAATGCTCTTGTGGCTGAATGCAATCAAATCCTCACTGCAATGTTCCAACATTTAGTGTAAAGCCTTCATAGAAGAGTAGAGGCTGCAAAAGGGGGGCATACTCATTATTACTACCCTTCATGTTTCATGGGCAGGTGTCTGCAAACTTTTGGACATACAGTATATGTGATGGGTCACTGTGCAGGATTCATGCAAGCATTAAAAGGCCTATATCCTACATTGTTCTGAGCTGAGGTCCACTGAGCTTTGTGACTTCATGTGCCAAAACAATTCATTTTTACATGACCATTTTTCAATCTCTCTTTATCCGTTAGAATCAAACCGGTTGTTTTTGCTACCGTGACTTAAGACTGATTTATTTAAACAGCCTCGGTTCTGATTGGCTGCTCTGTATTGTGTCTTGTTTAAAAAGACAGTCCAGACTGAAACACTGAAAACACATATATTCAGTGTGAATGAGTGGCGCTAAACTGCTGTAGGCTGAGTAGGTGGATATACTGTATATAAAAGCACTGTTCTATGTGACATCACAGAAATAAGGGATACAAAACTGTTTCTGCGGCTAAGCTTTTATTCATGGACTGGGAAGTGTAGATGTTTTGAAAGCCATGTTCACAGACTACTTCAAACTCGTCTTTCAACAAAGCAAAGACAATTAGTTTTCCATGTTATGGAAGTATTATTTATATTAGGTACTGCACAGAAAGCATACAGACATTTTAGTAGTTGACTGCTGTCATGAAGAATATGTTTTCGTAATGGTGTTATAAGTGACGCTATGCAGAAAATAATGTCATTTCCTGTTTCCCTTTAAAATTCTTACTAACTAAGACACAAGTAAGCCACAGAATATCTTTCATATTCAACTGTTTATTTACAAAATTCAGAGTAAAACTGCAAAAAAGAGCCTGAGTATTTATGTACATAGCTGAAATCTTTTAAAAATCCATATAAAAAGTAATACTATTAATAAAATGAGCAGAATGGAAGGAGTGGGGTAGTGGAGGAGTGTCTCAGAAATTAAAAGTGCTTTGGTTCTCTGGAATCTGGAAGGCATAGCCATCAGTGGTTTCTTCAGGAGCTATAGATTCATCCTCTTCTTCCTGAAAGTAGAGAAATGAGTCAGATACAGTGCGAGAATATACTGTCCATTGCATATATATGATATATTTAATGTATATTCAGGATGCACAGGGCTAAACTGCTGCAGGCTGATTAGGCGGATATATGTAAATGCACTGGTTTTTGTGACACCATGAAAACAATGAATTCCAAACGGGCTGTTTTCACAGTTTAGTTGTTTCCCTGTATGGACCAACTGGTCTGGGAAGTGAATGATGTTCATGTGTTTTCTTACTCAAAATCGTAGTTTGTAACAAAATAAAAATCTACAGCTTTGTTACATCATGCTCTTAAATCTAAATAAATGTGACAACAGCATTGAGAAATCACATCATTAAGTGAGAAAAGTACACAAAAAAGCAGAAACAGCTGCTTTTTGGCACACAATTAATGTGACTTCCCAATCAAAGTGATGGAATTCCCCTGTATTGCACAGTTTAGTATTTTCCCTGCCTTAAGACTCTATGAGTGGGAGACAAATGACCCGTCCTTTCCTGCCAGTAAGAGTGCTCCTTATGATGGGAAAAGGCCTCTTTCACTATGATCTGACAAGTGCTTGAAACAATTCAGAAATACTGACTGAAGGATTTGGGGGGATTTTTTTTATATTTGAAATTGCCAGAGGATTTGTTTTGGCCCAAAACTGAATGTGTGTATTATTATAATTAAAAGTTCTGAAATTGATGCAGTTGAATCATTTTGGACTGATTCGTTTATTCAATTTGTTTATAAATATACAGTCATTATTATAATATAGTTACTATATAATATAGTGATTGTAGATTAGCAGTCTTGGGCAGAAAAGTTGATAGATAAGAATGAACCATCTGTAGTGCTGATGGAATGCATTTTAACTCAAACTGAAAAACAGCCTTAAATCTCCACCAGACAAATACACCATCACTCACCTCTCCTGAGAAGTATTTCTCTATCAGGTTGAGGGCAGCTTTGTAGATCATTTCATTCTCATGGGTTTGCAGTGCCTCGATCCTGTCCAGCCCTCCGCACTCCTCCACCATCAGACAAAGCTTCTCTGTCTCACCCATCTTATCCGCCGCCTGCAGGTCAATACAGCCAATAAATTACCAACAGGCTCGCTTTAACCACAGAAATACAATGCCTAAAATGGAGTGTGGCAGGTTAGAATGGTATATCAAAGATGCTACAGAGTTGGCACGAAAAGACTAACTTCAGGCCACTGTAATTAGGCAATTCGGCTTACAGGTTAACACAATTCCATGGCAGTTCCAATGGCTTTCAGAGAAAATTCAGGCTTCAAGATAGCAGCTACTTCTGTTTTTAGCGATGTAATGTGCATTGGCTTATTTTTCTAAAGCAGTTTGTCATAGAAACCACATAAGCAAGTCCGTCCGAGGTGACTGTGTAATGATTTAGCAGGTTAGCACAATGCTAATTGCTGGGGTATAAGTTTCCATTACTTGTTAGATACATGAGCCTCGTAGCTTACCATGAAAATATTCAAGACTGCATCCAAGATTACTAAGATGGTCTTGCTGTCCTTGACTGAGAGCAGGTTGAGCAGAGGGGGCAGGACACCGCACTGAACCAGGTACGCCACCTGCTGGACCGTCCCTCCACTGGTGTAGTTGGTGATGGCCCAGACAGCCTCCTTCTGGGTCTTATATTCTCCCTGTACAAACAGACAAACACAGACAAACCTCAAACCTGAACCACTGTTGACATTATTTATTTTCTTAATGTGCACTAAAATGGTGCACTAGTTCAATACAAAACTTCTGTGGTTGTCACTGTGGTCAAAACACAGAAGAAAAACTTTGAGACCAGTTTTCTCAGTTCTCATTCTGAGCTACATTTCAGTTAGTGATAATCACTCATAATTATAGATGATATACACAGAAACCAATAAACTTTGTCGTGGCTGATACTGGAACTAACTAAATATAACTAAAAATAACTAAATATATTAATTAATAAAACAATAAAGCTGTCCTTGCCAAACATTGTTCTAGTTTCAAATGCTGGTTGGATGGACCCTGCTGCTCGTCCGACTGCTTTTGTTTTCTTCCTCTTTGTAGCTGCATCATATTCTTTATATGGATCACTGGAATGATACGTATGGAATCAAACCTAGAGAGATCCTTTAGCTAACAATGCTTTAATGATTCTTCACTCATCATAGCCACCTAGCTACAATACAATTTAGTAAATGCTGAAATGTGTGTGGATGATTGGTCAAATTCTAACTGGGTAGTCAATAATACTCACTACCACAGTTACCACAGTTACCACAATCACTCCCAGGTGAACATGAATGTAGCTCTGCAATCTGATAAACTGAATAGTCAAACTTCTGCCAGAAAACAAAAGCTCCTGTGCAGTCTGAATCCTGATCAGTATTTTAGTATCATCGAGTTCTAATATTTGCAATTTATTTAATTAATTTAGTGGGTTTGAAAGGTTTTTGCAGGTTTCCCCTTGCATCTAAAAACAGGGTATTAGGTGTTTGGATAAATTATTAAAATTAAATAATTTATTTTAATATTATTAGTGGCTGCAAAATCAGACATCTTAGCCCTTACAAAGCTTTTGTGCTGCTATATTATTTAAATGTAATAACACAATGTAATTATGTGATTAATTATGAATGTACATTAAATTTACATTCAGCATCAACAGCTTTGAGTCTGAACTAGGAAGAACGTAAAGCATGTTTGTTCTTTACACAAAACAAAGCCACAACTTTGCATCAGATTCAAATCATGCCAAAGTATCTCTTCTTATACACACAAACATAAACGTTTGGATTTGGTATGGATTGAAAGTTTAAAATCTGGACTTTTCACAGTACATCTCCGCTTTTTTCAATGAACGAAGAGCAAGTTCCATATAAATACACGCCACATAAAATAATGGTTAATTCTATAGTACAGCCTACAGCAGTGGGTGGCAACCCTAGTCCTGGAGAACCCCCTACCCTGCACATCTTGACATTTTCCCTGCTACACACACACCTAATCCAAGTCCTTCCTGAGCTAAGTGGGCACGCTATGGCAGGAGGAAACAAAAATGTGCCTGGCAGGACCTGGAAACCAGTGGCCTAGATAATTGGTCACAAAAGCCTGAGTGACCCGCTGAATTCTCACCTGCTGCAGGACCTCCACCAGCAGGGGCACCAGACCTGCTCCGATCACCTCCTGGATCTGCGAGTCCCTTCCGGCCGTGATGTTGGACAGCGTCCACGCCGCCTCCTTCTGGATGTTGTTTTTGGGGTGGCGCAGCAGCGTGGGAAACAAAGCCAGCGCCCCAGCATTCAGAACCTTCTGCGTCTGTTCATCTGTACCTGTTACAATGTTCCCTACAGCCCGCAGAGCTGGAGTCTGAGGAATTCACAAGAAAGCATTAGCATTAGATCACTGCACAGAAGGTGCACATTCCTTAAAAAGTAGTTTCAGCCAGAAGGACTCACCACGATGGTGATGTCTCCGCAGGCGAGCAGCTGCACCAGCCGTGGCACGAGGTTGGCCTGAACCACCACCTCGATGCGCTCGTTAGGACCGTCAGTCAGATACGAAACGGCCCAGCAGGTGTCCGCCAGCACCTCGGGGTCTTCATGGTGAAGGAGCACCAACAGTGCCGGCAGCATCTGCTGCACCGCGGGCAGAGGAGGGGCAGGGTTTTTATTCCGGCAAAGATTAGACAGCGTCCAGGTGACGTTCCTCAGGTAGGTGGGCTGCACAGAAGGTAAGAGAGGAGTCAGTAACAAAAGAGGGAGTTTGTTGAAGGCTTGGAGTTTAATTGATGTCATTCAAACACACCTTCTTAAGGAAGCAACAAAAGATTCTTCCTATAATCGATTAACTTACTGACTAGTTAAACAATTTGGTGCCACCGTCACTCAAAGTTCTGTCCATACAACATTTTTTTTCTTTTATGGTGCAAAAAAGCCATAAAGGATGAATAAACCTAAAGATTAGGTAGGACTGCAACAAAGTGTTAAAATCCTAATGATACATTTGAATGATAACGGAAACGAGAAACAGTGATTAGAGAAACATACAGTGGCCCACATACTGTAATAATTTTAGAAATTTTATGCATTTATGTAGATGGATTTACTGTCAATACAGTCTTACTGAAAGCAAAAATAAAACAATAAGTGTATGTTCTTTATTACTTTATAATTAGGTCTAGTTTGTTTATGAATAACACCAAATACAAACAACAAACACCTCTTAATTTTTCTTTAAATGAGCTGTTTTTAACTGAAGCACTTCACTTAAGATACTCAAACACTCTATTAACCCCACAGGAAGAAATACACAGTTGACTTCACACAGTGTAAGTGAGTGATGTTTCAGTACTAATGCAAACTCTAGTTCCAGCCCTAGATTGATTTACTGTAAAGCAAGTAAAATTTGTCATATTAAAGCAGTTTGGCAAATTTGCTATGAAAATGAACATCGTATGCAGTCTGCAAATCCAGTTTCCTTTGGAAACAAAGCAAGACACTCACCATGAAGCCAAAGCATGTACACCTGTCTGGAACACAGGCTATGACTGTATCACTTCATCCGAACTACATATCAGGCAGTCCTAACATCAAACCTAAACAGACACTGTCATTTTAATCAAGTGTTCTGTAGTCATGAAAGAAACACTTACAGCATACATGGACAGGTCCGGAACAGACAGCAGTACGAGCAGCGGGTCAATGGCTCCATGTTTGATGACTTTGTCCCTGTATGTGGAGCCATCACCTTTAAAGAACAAAAGTACAATAAGCTCTCAAATTCCAAAGCCCAGCTTTAGCACAAGCAAAAGCACCAGATGGTATGGTATCATTAAATGACATTAGGAAATATACTACGAGACCCTCTGTATTATGGGACAGTATCTGCTCTCACAGCAGGCTTGGGCGAGCGCACAACACTGTATCTGTGAGCGTCCTTTGTCAAGACTCCTAACACTACATTTGTCAAACTGTACAACATGATTAAACTATAACACTGTCCACCAAATTTACTGTTTATCCCTTCCTGCTGGTAAAAAAATGCATCTATGGACTGTGATGCATCACTCTGAAGGTGGTGATTCAACTGCACAGACTTTAGAATTTTTAAATCAAACATTTTATTGAATGTGCACTCAATATTTGGCCTAAATATTTGGCCCTCTCTTCGCCAAGGTGCCCTCTTCCAGCCCCTCACCCCACACACCAGTAAACACACTGTAGAAATTACAGAAGAATAATCAAATAGTAAGTCCTGACCCCCAGGTTTAAAGCCTCTGGCCTAAGATGACAAAACTGGACCCACCAACTGTAAATCAAAATGCGACTGGCTGATTCCACTGTCAGTTCTTAATTATGTTGGTGGTTAAACTGACACATTAGGCCTTTAGTTCAGCTCCTGAAGTCTTAACTAATGGGAGACCCCACTTTGGCTGTATCTACCCAAACACCACTGAGAAAAAATTCTGATTGGATAATTTTCTGTTAGGTAAAAAAGTCAAAAATGTAAAAAATGAAATAAGAATATTGCTACAATAATTTGCAAAACTCACCTGCGATATTCCCAAGCGCCCAGATGGCTTGTTCGCTGACATGAGGATGAGGAGAGGCGACGAGGCTGACGAAGGCTGGGATAGCTCCTGCCTCTACCACAGCTCTGGTCTGTTCAGAGGTTCCCGAGGCAATGTTGGTCAGGGCCCAAGCAGCCTCGAACTGGATTGGTGGACATTCGGACAACGCCAGGAAGCTCACAAGCTTGGAGATCAGACCAGCGTCCACAATCGAGTCGATAGGGGGGTGCTTTTCTCTGGACAGCAACTTTCTATTGATGTTGGGGAAAAAAGCCATAGGTTAACATATAAACTGGTGCTGTAAAGCACACGTTTTAGCTTTTAAATGAAAACATGACACCTCTGTATCGGCAACAAAAGCTCTCACACACATCATAAATAAGGGACATAGCTGTTAACCACACAAACGATGCCGATTCTGATTGTGAAATGTTTAATCCAATATAATTGGCTATAAGAATATTCAATAAAATTGCTATTTTTCTGCCCAAAATAAAATATAAACATAAAATTTAAAAAAAGCCTGCAAAGTTGGTTTTATTGTCTATATTCCATCACCAAAATCATCTCAGAATCTAATACAATAAGAGTCATAATCAAATTTTCAGAGGTCAAAGATTTACACAATGAAAAGCTGGCATTCGCCAAGTAAACTCAATAACAGAAACCATTTCCGTATTTGCACCTTTTGAGGGAAGTGCTAGAGTCTGTCCTGTGTGTTGCTGAACATGCAAACTGTATGAGTGTACTGATATTCAGATAACAACAACATACACGCTTTACAAGCTGGTTTCACTTTTCCTGATACAAATCAGCCCTCATCAGGCCAGTTTCAGGTTCACCAGGTCCACAGGAGAAATATTTTCAGACGTAGCACTGATGACGTCCACTGACTGCTTTTTACAGCAAGCTGCCATACAAACACAGCACAAGCCTGTCCGTCTGAGAAAGTGGTCAGTCAGACCTGATCACATGCTCCACTCTGTGAGTATAGTACACTTTTATACTCAGCATTACTTCACACAGTATTATCCAAAATACTGAATGTGCAAACAGTTCTCATCCCTGCAGTCAGAGGAAAACCCTTTTTTTAAACCGTTTTATTTTTTAGTACCATTTGAAAAGGCTGCCTTTTACATGCAAACCTTTCACAATAACTAGAACCAACAGACAAATGGAGACACCAGGAGACACATGGAGACACAACAGACACAGAGAGCATTGACTATATTACACATGGGAATGGTGATGAATTAACAATATAAACATTATAAATAGAAAAGCAAAAAAAATGTTTACACTATAGAGATATTTTACACATATTCACATGGAGTACTGACTATATTGCACACAGGAAATGGTGATGAATTCACAGTTGATGGCCTACCCAGCAGTGCAAAAATTCTGCAAGTAGAAACTCTCATGGTAAAAGATAACCTAAAGGTTTCTATCCACTACTGTTCAAGAGTTTATGATCTCTCACCATATTAACAATCACTGTTATTTTATTCAATATCATACAACAGTTAGTTCCGGCCACGCAAGCAGATTGGTTGAGCGGCATTCTAACCGTGCTGTTATTTCGCCATAACATCACAGGTTTTTCACAAATACTGTATCACTCCACTGAGATGCCGTTGCTAAGCAACGACTTTGACAGCTGTAGGAGACGCTCAAGCCATTTGAACGTTTTTACTTCTTACTTTGCTGCAAAAACAGAAAATGGATACTTCTAAGATCACATTTGACCGACAGTCAGACTCTGAAGATGAGACTACACTAAACTCCCAAACTCTCAGTTGGTCTGTGTAAGGAGCTGGAGAATGAACACCTGGCTGTGTAGCGAGTGAGCGGAGCTCGTTACTCTGACGTAGCAACAAACTGCTTCTTAAGGAACTATAATTTGGCGGAAAGAATTGCTAACATACATACATATTAAATGACACGGTCACGGCCCAGTTTATTTATTTCTTACTTTATTTATTTAACTGTTATATAAAAGCAATAGAACACTTGAGGTCGTGTGTTATCGCTATAATTATTATCGTTATTTCACGATAACACACTCCCTATTGTGTTCTGTTGCTTAACTACTACAGTGGAGATTGAAAAACTATATGCTAGACACTATAGTGTATGTTAGGATCTTTTATTCAATATTTCTATGTTTTTTTTCTGGGGACACCAAGAAGTTATTAAATGATATCTGCCTTCAGATTTGATCACCACTTTTCATATATAAGTAAGCTATTCCGGATATTTCCTTTATTATAACCTAAATCTCAATGTTATATAGCTTTCTGAATCATTACAGAATCATCCACAGCTATGATTATCATTCTGGACACATCTTATTTCTCTTTATACAAACTATCTGAAGCCTATGAAGTTGTGGGGTACTGGCATCATAATATTATCATGTTATACATGCATCTTCAACAAACTCTTCAAAGTATTCTTTTCCAAGTGCACCTACATGTATCTTCTGAGTTTTTAAATGTAATGCTGATGATGATATAATAGCAGTAAATCCGAAAAAGATGTTTTCTTTGGGGACTACTTTGCTTTTTACATCCTGCATGTACCCATTCATCATGAATAGACTTATTAGTTAAAACTTTATCGCAAAACCATTGTGACAATGTCTCAGTGTATTAATAACCATTTCATGTTATTACTTTCCGTGAGGGAGCTTTTGGAGGAAGACATCCGGTATCTATCACCACCGCTGTGAACAATTCTGACACATGTTTTTACACCTCAGAGTCATTTGATCTGGTTAGTTTTGGTATCACAACTTGCTGAGCGCACTAAAGAACTTAACCTCACAAACCTATGTCCTGTTGTCATCACCTATGTGAGCTGCGTATCCCCAGGGTAGCCTTTTCCAATTGAACAGAGGAAAATGAATATCCTCTCTCATCTTTTCAGTAAATAAGGGATAGGTTTTGGCATTTTTATGCATTTTTTTTCAAGTTGACTTTTGACTTATTCATCAGACAAAATTGTACATAAACCATGGTTCAGTTTGATCCAGACCGAGACCGCATCGTTTGTTCAGACTAAATTTTGGTCCCTTGGTGCACACCGTGGTCCAAGGCACCTTTCACACTTGCTATTTTGGTTCGGACCAAACCGAAAAGTCTGAAGGTTCAGACCAAACATGCACCCTTAGTCTTTCTAGAATGGAACTATTTACATGAAACCACTCTGAATGACTTTTGTTTACATCTTAATTAAATTCTGCAAAAATTATTACAGTTATTATTTTACATTAATTTGATGAACAGTATCTATTAAGGAAATCTTCTAAATGTTTAGCAGCAGCTCGAAGTTTGCAGTGGCAGGAGGACGGCCACAGTAATGGGCTTACAGGTGCCCTGTCTCTTACCTTGCCGCCTGCGTGGCCTGCAGCTGATGATCCAGGCTTTGGCTATTTACACCGCTCACAATCTCCTCCACGCTCCAGTGCTGAGAGGACTGAAAAAACAGGAAAGAATTAGCGCAAAAATAAGCAGTCAGTCAAAACTGCAACATCAGCAGCCAAAACTGACCACAAACACAACACGACATCTGACAACTTCAAATGTGAGGTGAGGAACAACTTGAAGTGCAAAATCTTCAGAATACTTACTAAAACACATTTAAGGTACGCTGACACATACAAATGTAGTACCTTTATACATTATATATCCAAAATGATACATTTTCTTTTCTGTACATCAGCTCATCCAGCGTTTCTTCTGCAATGAAGGGTATTAATAGAGAGTTTGCCCCCTTTGCTGCAGTTACAGCCTCTACTCTTCTGGGAAGGTTTTACACTAGAAGTTGGAACATTACTATGAAGATTTGATTGAGCATTTGCGAGGTCAGGTGCTGATGTTGGATGATCAGTTCTGGACACTCCAGCTTATCCCAAAGGCACTGGATGGAGCTCCATCACTCCAGAGAACACAGGTCCACTGCTCCATAGTCCAATGCTGGGGGGCTTTATATCCCTCTAGCCCACGCTAAAATGAACACCAGAGAAATTGCTGTGCTTTCTCTCATACCGCCTGAGAAGCTGCCGAACTCTTTTAGCTGCATAAGACAATGCTGGGGGCCTTGTGCGCCAAGCAAGTTGTGCACCAGCTGGTACTGAAGTGTGAAAGACTGTAATATTTTCCAAATTCCAGCAGTGTCTGATGATCAGAGACACACATGTATGGAACGCATGTAAGAAATTGAAGTTGGCTTCTTATTCAAAATTCACATTCCACCTTAAATGGTGCAGCAGTTACAATCAGATGCCTGTCCAGGCACAGAAGACTAAAATAAAAAGCTACCAAATAAGAAGCAAGCTTGTAACTGCATTTACCAACATTGGTGATGGTTCTGTGGGACTAGCGTTAGAAAGCAATACAGACATAGGTCTAAACAAGCCACAGTTAACTTACTTAGTTTAACCAGTTTACTTAAGCATCCTAAATGGTTAATATATATATATATATATATATATATATATATATATATATATATATATATATATATATATATATATATATATATATATATATACACACACACACACACTCACTACTAAGTGCCATTTTCTTGCTTTGCACTCTTTCATTTCTCTCCTTGTGCACCGATTCTGAGCTCTCTCCCACCACTGACTGCAGATGCCGATGCCGATTCAACATGCTCAATTAGCCAAAACAGAGCTGACGAGTCAACTAGAGCCAACAATGCAACACAAACTACCAGGTAAGGGTGGCCACTGACGCTTGCCTAATGGCATCTGACAGTCGCCTTGATGCGTCAGAACCCTTAGGCTCATGTGCAGCAGCCATTGCATTGGCATTGCGTGCAGGAAATGACCACTGAATTTACTATTAGAGGGTCTATTTGGACAGTGAATCCTACACCTTTACCTGAGCATTCTGATTCTGATCCTGAAGAGGTGAAGAGGGACCATCAGGGAAGCAGCTGACATTTCTCCGTTTTAAAATCTGCTCGTCTTTCTTGGCTTTTCGTAGTTCAACATTGACCTCTATTCTCCTTCTCCTTAATTCCTAAAAAAAACAGGAACAGAAAGTTCAGTGAGTGGATCTGACCAAACACATGATAAATGTCTAAACATTGTTGTGCTAAGATGAGCCCTCTACTTACGTTTGCATCTTTTCCCTTATTTTTGAACTGGTTTAAACGGGCGACGCTGTCGTTTGAGCCAGAAGACATTTTCTATATACATGGAGAAGATGAACAATGGGTGAAAATAAATAAACAAATAAACAACGTCACACTGCCATGCAGAGGTGGGCAATATGGCCAAATGTAACACCATGATGCTTTAGGAAGTTTTTACGATACACGATGTGTCACAATATTTATTATCTCTGACAAGTTAGAGCCACAAAGTACTGCCACATTTTAAAAATACTGTCAAAACCTATGAATCCAATCACTTGTATTCAACGTTTCACACACTGTGCTGCACTAAATCAAATGAAACAAGACTGGCTATGTTCAGAAAAGCATATTGTGGTGTAATTTATCATAACGATAAACCCTCTTACACTGCCCAGCTCTTCTGCCATATTATTCAGCAAATATAACACACGACATAGTCATTTACTCACTGTAACAGATACACACAAACTGGCATAAGAAGAAAATCACAGGCCACAATTTAGAATAGCTTGAAAATAAATAAAGTAAGAACACAGTAAAAATGGAAATATCTTATGTAGTGGACTATTACTGTGACATTTGTAGATTTTATAGGCTTAAGATAGGATTTAAAACAAGGCTGAATTTCGAATTTCCCGTTCCACCTTAAATTAAGTTCACTGCTGCACCATTTAAGGTGGATCGGCAAAAATTCGAACAAGAAGCTGGCGAATAAGCTGACTCTGTGGATTTAAAGTCGTTAATGGACACAAACAGAGTTTTACATCTTTAAATCCTCCTTTTTGTATTAAAATCACTCTTTACATCTGCTGTCAGACAAATTAAGTCAGTTAACGTTACATAAACCCACTCAGATTTCCGGCCATGTGGTCCGATGAAAAACTGAAAGCTGATTAAATCTTAAAGGCAGACCAACACGAAGAAAACACACACTTAAAAACCCCACACCACTGTCACACAAACAGGCGACTCTAAGGTATCGCCTCATTTTTTAAAGTACATATTTTGCTGCCACGGCCGGCGTGCTTACCGCGTACCAGTTCCTTATGTCTGGATTGCAGTGACGCAGGTACAAGAACAGCCCACGTAGGGTTAACACTCGACCGTGATTGGTCGAATGCGAGAAAGCCGGCATCTTATAGGCTTCTTCTATCAGCGCAGAGAAAAACAACGCGCAACGTCGTTACCGTGGGAACAGCCGTGTTGTCGCGAGAATTTATACAATTCGATATAAAGTCGATCTCCACGACAGTCCAGACGTTTTCGGTGCTTTCGGCATTGAATTACGTGTGTCTGCGCACAACTGTGCTTTGTAAAGTTCACTTTACAATCAAAAACATTCGCTGGAAGTTGTGTAGCGCTATTGTTCAAAAAGCTTTGTTTCTCCTCAGAGGAGCGTGTTGACCCAGTGGCCTAATGGATAAGGCATCAGCCTCCGGAGCTGGGGATTGTGGGTTCGAGTCCCATCTGGGTCGACGGAAGCCATTACTTTTAACCCAATTACAGTGATTTAACAGACTAAATGCATTCATTCTACACACTCATAGAAACACAACCAATGTACGAGAATAAAGGAGAGTCATCTTAAGAACAATGTATGTTTATTGTAAAAGTAACCCTTATTTGTACACTGTACAAAATGACCCGACTCAAACATCTTAGTCAAGACAAAAGTTGTCCCCTAAAGATGCTACTCTTCTAAGTATTTTACACTGTGTATTAAAGATGTATGGAAACCAAATGTGAGTAGCTTCAGGTGTTTCCAAGTGAAGTACTCTGAAGTACAACACTAGGTATCCTATTTTAAGTGAAGACTAAATGAACACTAAACGCCCTTGACAGTACAATTAAGGGCCTTGATCTAAGGCCTGTCCCCAACATCACAGGGCCTGTATTAGGGTGGTATACACTTACAGACTGCACAACAGCAAAGTGGACTTTGCTGCAAAGTGGTAAGGGTTTCCAATAATGTGACCACTGAGTGTTATCACCGAACACAGGATGAAAGACCTGAGAAAAAAGAATGCAGACTAAGAATTTGAGATCATTTAACTATAGCCTAAGATACTGACACTGATGCACAGTCCTATGCAACATTTTGAATACCCCTGGTCAAACACATCCTCTGCAGGGAATAAACCTATATAGCGTCAGGGTCCAAAGAAAAACATGTAACTCCATTTTTGTCAATTTTATTTTTCTAAATTTGAGCAGATCTGCTCACCTATAACACCTATAGTATATTTCATAAATATATGCAAATGTGCTTGTATACAAAAATATTAATATTTTATATAGATTTGTATAAATCACAGACACTGTGTACATGTGCTGCTTGTACATAACACTAATTGCATACCTTACTTGTGTGTGTTTCCTGTCTATCTATCTATCTATCTATCTATCTATCTAAAAAAGTTGGGATGCTGTGCAAAATGTAAATAAAAACAAAATGCAATGATGTGCAAATAATTCAAACCCTATATTTAATTGAAAATAGTACAAAGACAGCATATCAAATGTTGAAACTGAGAAATTTTATTGTTTTTGAAAAATATATGCCAATTTTGAATATGATGCCAACAACACATTTCAAAAAAGTTGGGATGGGAGCAACAAAAGACTGGTAAAGTTGTAGGATGCTAAAAAAAGCACCTGGTGGTTAATTAGCAACAGGTCAATAACATGATTGGGTATAAAAAGAGCATCTCAGAGAGGCTGAGTCTTTCAGAAGTAAAGATGAGGAGGGGTTCACCACACTGTGAAAGACTGAATGATCAAATAGTGCAACAATTCAAGAATAACATTCCTCAACATAAAATGGCAAAGAACTTTTGCTTTTCATCACCTACGGTACATAATATCATTAAAAGATTCAGAGAATCTGGAGAAATCTCTGTATGTAAGGGACAAGGCCAAAAAACAATATTTGCTGACCATGATCTTTGGGCCCTCAGGCGGCACTACATTAAAAACGGACATGATTCTATAGTGAAAATCACAGCATGAGCTCAGAAACACTTCTGAAAACCACTGTATGTGAAAACAGTTCATCACTACATCCACAAATGCAAGTTAAAACTCTAAAACGCAAAGAAGAAACCACATATAAACAGGATCCAGAAATGCTGCCACCTTCTCTGGGCCTCAGCTCATTTAATATGGACTGAGGTGAAGTGGAGAAGTGTCCTGTGGTCCGATGAATCAAAATTTGAAATTCTTTTTGGAAATCATGGACACTGTGTGCTCCAGACTAAAGACCACTTAGCTTGTTATCAGTGCACAGTTCAAAAGCCAGCATTGATGATGGTATTGGGGGCATTAGTACATTAGTAATGGGTAAAGTGCACATCTGTGAAGGCACCATTAATGCTGAGCGATATATACATGTTTTGGCAACATATGCTGCCATTCAGGTGACGTCTTTTTCAGGGAAGGCTTTGCTTATTTCAGCAAGACAATGTCAAACCACATTCTGCATGTTTTACAACAGTATTGCTCAGTATTAAAAGAGTCTGGGTGCTAAAATGACCTGTATACATTGCAGACCTGTCACCATTGAAAACATTTGGCGCATTATGAAATGAAAAATACGACAAAGGAGCCCCTGAACTGTTGAGCAGCTGAAATCCTATATCAAGTACGAATGGGAAAACATTTCACTTTCAAAACTACAGCAGTGTCTCAGTTCTAAAACGCTTTCAGAGTGTTGTTAAAAAGAAGAGGTGATGAAACACAGTGGTAAACTGGAACGTGTTGTTGGCATCAAATTTAAAATGGGTAAATGTTTTTCAGAAAAACAATAAAATTTCTCAGTTTCAACAAATGTCTTTGTACTATTTTCAATGAAATACAGGGTTTAAATTATTTGCACATCACTGCATTTTGTTTTTATTTACATTTTGCACAGCATCCCAACTTTTTTGGAAATGGCGTTGTAACATTGCACATATTAATACAGTTTAACATTCCTGATCATCTTGTATTTATCAAATAAAGATTCTCATTCACATTAATTTGATTCAACTCTTTGATTTTCTGAATATTCAAGTCCTCCAAGGATGCTGTATAATAAAACATTTTAAAAAGACCTTATAGCAGTGTCATAAAGGTGTAAGAATATCAAACAAGCTAAGTAAAAACATGAAAAGGGTAAAATAGTAAGAGAGACGGACTAAATAAGTTAAAATTAACAGACTAACAAGTTAAAATTACAATGATAAATAGAAAAAGAGGTCAGGAGTGAGTTACTGCTTTAATAGTTCACTCTGCACAGAAGAAAGCTAAAGGGGAATTCCACTGATTTTTCAAAATTTCAGCATATTTGAAGTATTGAGCCGTAAACATGTAAAGTTATTCAGAGTGATTTGATGTGAAATGATTGATTGTAGACTCTGATTTCTTTACAGTGGTGGTGAAGGGAACCATGACAACAACACAAATATAGCCATTTCATTTACTATCCAAAAACCACCAGTGATCTTTTTCAGTTTTCAAATGAATTGTTGATGATGACAAAGTAGTGATAAACCAGAAAAAAATACGTTTTCTTTGGGGACTATTTTTGCCATGTCCTCCGCAGCCATGAATGGATTTAAAAACATGTTCTACACCGAAATCTTCTCAAAATTATAATAAAACAACAGCTCAGGCAGCGTATTTAAAACCTTTACACGAGTTTTTAGAGGCATTAAACTTATCAGACGTCTGGTTCCTACCACCACTGTGTCTACCTCTCAAGCAGTTTATTATGTAGAAATGTTAGGACATTAGTGGAATTCCCCTTTAATATCAACCTGCGCAGCGGCTCTCTCTATTTATTTGTTTCTGTTGTCCACTAGGGGGCAGTGAATAAATAGTCAATTTAAAAAAATTTTAAAAAGTCCATTTAGCTCAGTGTACGCATACAGAACAGAAGTGTGAGCAGCAAAGATTATATATATATATATATATATATATATATATATATATATATATATATATATATATATATACACATCGCGATCTATCTGTATGTGTATGCATATATGTATATATATGGAACCTCTCTACATATACAGTCCGGTAGGGGGCGATAGATATATTACAAATACATTACAAATACAAAACAGAGGGCCGAGCAGCACAGCTTATGTTTATTATAACTGACCACATGTTCGCACATCTCTCTCTTTCTTTCCTCTCTCTCCCTCTTCTTTTTCACTCTCTCACTCTCTCCTCTTTGCCTTTCTTTTTCCTCTCTCTCTCTCTCTCTCTCTCTCTCTCTCTCTAAGTGTATATATGACACGCCCCTTACTCCCAGAATTAAGCCGGAGGCATAAAAATCAGTCACCCTGTAAAACCCCCTCAAACTCACTGCAGCTCCAGCATGGCCGGCTTTCTGCTCCTGCTGTCCGTCCTGCTCGCGCTGTCTGATGCTGAAGAGCATGCTGTTAACGGTGAGGACACACACTGAAACGCTCAGCCTCTTTCAACACTGACATTAACAATGAATATGGAAATAAGGCGCTGGAGTTAATAGTGTAATATGTGTTTTAGTGAGTCTGATGAGTGAGGCTGCACGTTTTGGATTACATTAGCAGTTTTAATGAGATGTGCATGAAGGGAAATGAGCGTTCTGCTGTTTTAAGTGTGTTTTAATATGACCTCTGTGTTGGGTTGAATCTTTGAAAGTGGACAAAGTGATTGCACTTATTTATTTACAATAGGATATTCTCTTTTTCTTAGTCAAACCAGTCAGCCAAGTCAGTTGGCCCACTTTTTTATACCGAATATGAGAAGAAGAAACTTATGATGATGATAAAGTGACCTTAATGTCAGAGATAACTGAGTGAATTAAGGGATTTTCATTCTGGGTACATATTATAGACAAAATAATAATGTTGAAAAACAAATTTCACATGTTCAAGCTTGCTTATGTAGACTTCAGAAGAGTGAGACATGCATAAGCAGACCGCCATACCCTTTAATTTCAGTGCACACTCAGCCGGACTGTTCATTTACTAAACTCAGCTTTAAAGGAATAATCCTGCATGCTGCTCAAAGACATAGCTTTACAGATTTCATGTTGTGTTAACACAGTGCTGATGGGTTTTGTGAAATGTGTGCTTCTAATGTAATATACAGCAAAAACTAAAATATAGACTACCATTGGCTTCTGTGGCGGTCTTGCTTTCAGAACGCCCTCGCAGGTCTAATAGCCCATCAAAATGTTCTCAGGCTATTGTATGAATTATGAATGTGCACTTTAACATATTCACCAGAGATTTCAGCATAAAATTATGCTAACGAAGTCTATAATACAAATATGTTTGAACAGTCAGTCCTTTTACATTGTGTTCTAAGTGAATATAAGACATATATAATAATACATCCTCTACAGAGATCACACTTCAATTGGCCTTTTCTGTAAATTTGACTTTACAATTTCTGTTTATTTGCCGAGTTTAACATGTTGGGAAAAAGTAAAATTCAAAATAAAAAATGTGGCGTAATTTTATGTTTATAGCTTTCCCCCAATGTGTTAAATTCAGCAAATAAACAGCAAGTGTGCACTAAAATGTGCAGAAGTGTGTTCTCTGTAGAGGATGTGTTCACTTATTCACACTTAGAAAATCAACAAAGCATGTAATTTGACCAAGGGTGCCCAAACTTTTGCATATGAATGTATGCAAATATTAAGAATAGATACCTTTAGATATATTTAACATGTACAAATGGCACCTTTAAATGTATTTAGCACATATATTCTTAAACATCACATATATTGTACATATATGTTTAATTGTGCGTATATGTTTTGTAGGGGCAGTATATTATGAAACCTCGAATCTTCATTTTTGTTGTTTTTCAGTTTTTGAAATAATTTAAAAATGTCGGTTGCCTTTTACATTTTGTATAAATTTCATGACGAATGGACCAACAGAAATGGCCAAAATATACTTGGAAAAAAGTCTGGTTCCATTGACTTACATTAAAAGTAAAGTAAGTTTTTTCCTTCTCCTCATGTTGGAGATACAAAGTTTTGTTCTGACAACAGCGATTTGCAATTTAAAACTTTGCTGTCATAGCTTTATTCTGTATTGCTTTATGTCTCTTAACTGCTCACTGTGTCATCCACAGAGCTGTTCTCCCTGATTGTAACTCCACCAGAGAAGACGGTGCAAAGCGGTGTGTCTGACTCCAACAACCACACCAGGGCTGCAGGCAAAGACCCTTCCCTGCCTGTCAATGAGCTGCTGGAACAAGGTAAAAAGTCTGCAGACCCAAAGTCCATGCATGTCCTGCCCGCTACTGGGGTTTGGCCTAAACATGTGGACTTGGCGCCTCTGCCCCGGCCTGGACCTCACAGCAAGAGCAAGAAGGGGTCCAAGGACGACCGTTTTCCAGTGGAGCACAACAGCGAGAAGACGCGGACCGATGACGTCCAGCGTGCAAATCAGCCTTTCATACCTTCTAAAGTCGTCCCGGGTGTTGGTGTTGGAGTAATGAACCGCACCCAGAAAGCCACACCTGAAAGCCCGGTGGTCCAGTCCAACAACCCCCCACCCAGTGAATCTGACATTTACCATAACCACAACTCCAGATCCCGCAGCCGGCCTCAGCCCACCACGTCCAACTCACGCGGGAAAGAGAAAGAGAACGCCAACAGACGACTGGATCCTGAAGAAAACAGGCCTGGCAAGTCCAGGCTGAGTGGAGGCAGCAGCTTGAACATCACTCGACCGTTCATCTTGCACAACCGCCGCAGCTCCAGCCTGCTCTACCATTTCGACATCCTCAAGAAAGGTTTGTAGAGTTTCCTTATGGTTGATGGTTGGTGATGCACTGATTTGCTTTACCGGTGACTGATCCACATTCAGCCCTGTTTCTGATGTATATGATGACTATGAAATTCCAATCCCTTAACAGTTGGCTGGTATCGGTTTGGCCAGTCGGTATTTACACATCTGAATCAGTATCAGGGGAGGGAAAGGTTAGATCGGATCAAAGATTAGATCGTGCATCCATAGTTGATAGCTGCGGTGCACAGTTGGAGTGGGCCAGGGGTTGGCAACAGGTGTCTCCAGAGCTGCATGCGGCTCTTTTACGGCCCTGTTGCGGCTCGACAGCAGAATTAGATTTTTAGGAAAAAATAAAATAATCCCCCTTTGCAGTAAAGTAAAGCTCTGCTGATCGTTCTAGGACAGTTTTGAAACTAAATGGTCATAACCGCTGGAGTTAATTTGGCCTGTAACTGTTAATTCACCGGTTAAATTGGCTCACAGACTGCTGGTCACCATAGCAATGCAGGCAACATTCTCGACCTGCTAGCTAACGAAAAGGGAAAGAGAAAGATTTAAGGCGAACGTCGATAATTTGGAGGCAAAGGGGCTTATTTGCATTTATAAGCACTCCAGCTGGTTTACTGATACGTTAAATCTGCATCGAGAAACTGTCAAACACTAAAATGTCACAAAGCTGAAGTCAGTTTCTCGTTTGAATTTTTCCGTTCCACCTTAAATGGTGCAGCAGTTACATTCTGGCGCCTCAGGCACCATTTAAGGTGGAACGAGAAAATTCAAACAAGAAGCTGTCGAAGGAGAAGCTGACTCCAGCCTTGTAAAAAGTTGAACATTGGGAGACATTTTACTATACCACAGTATTTCATATCAATACATTGCATTTAGCCCTCTAAGAGGTTTGGGGAAAAAGTGAATAAACATTATTATTGTATTTGTTGCCTATTTTTAAAAAGCTGTAAAAAATTAATCCATAAACGTTTTGGACAATTCAAAAACAGAATAAATGTAAATTGAATTTTAATGTGTAGCTTATTAGAAATACTCTTATCAAAAGAAACCAAGCGTAGTCTTAGAGGTCCTCACAAGGCAGCCTAAAGCATGACTGCCAAAGCTGGGATTTGAACCCCAGTCACAGTAACACTGGCAGGGATGAACACTCTGCTGTCAGATTTTTGTCGTTTTCCCATTAAACATGACTGTCTTGCATCCTTTTATTTCTTTTAGCTCTTGCTAACTAGTAAAAACCAGTCTGAGATTTACTCCTGTCGGGTCTCTTGCTCGGTCACTCTCTCTTTTTCTCTTCCTCGGGTAATGTTGTCTTTTTCGGTCTCTTCGCAGCCTCTGCCATGATGTCCATGTGGGGAATAGCAAGCTACTTATTATAGATAACTGAAGAGACATAGTTGTTGGTGTGTGACGTGATGCTGTAAAGCGCTACGCAGCTCTTGCGAGAAGTCTCGTGCCGCTCCTCCAAAAAAACATAGCGCTATAGCAGGCATTCTGGCCTGGAGTGGCAGTGACAGAAATGCCATTCTCCCTATTAAGTCAGGGTACCATCAGAATGATTTTGAAGCTGGTATTTTAAGGTAAATTTGTTACATAATGTCGCTGTAAGCTCCATAGAATCTGGCATAAAGCCAATTTTTGTTTTTGTTTTGTTTTTTTACAATGACAATAAGATATTTACAATGAAACTAGCGAGTTATTATCGCTAATTTCAGAATTTTAAAATAATTATTATACGTGCTGAGCGAGAAAGCACAGTGTGAGAGCAAAAGGGCAGGGGCTACAGTGTCGGAATGTGTAAATATGTGAAAACGTCTATTTTTGTACAATGTCCCATGTCTTTCTGGTATCGTATCACCAGATTTCCCATAGGGAATCCACAGTGTACAGATATCGATCTATCGGTCATTGACAGGGGGGTAAAAAAAAAGCACCATCAATTTTGGAATATTGGAATTGACTATAATCAATTATAAAAATATATAATAATGTGCTCAGCTTCGGGCCAAAATATATTTCTTATATAGTTCTCATTTTCCCAATATAAAAAAATCTTAGTTAATTTTATAGTCTATATTCCATTACTGTGTAAATTTGCAGATATTTAGTGTATTTTTAAAAATAGTTCTGAATTGCGCCAAAATATTGTAAGTCAGTTTGGACCATGGTGAATTTTGAGATGTTGTGATGCATTAAATTGGTTTCTAAAGAATCATAATTACATTGAATCACTGTGAGGTCAGAGATTTACACTCCCATTCACAGAGAGAGGAAATAGGAATGTGTGTGTTTCAGAGAGAGAGAGAGAGGGAGAGATTGCTGAGGGTGGATAGTTATTCTAATTACTCTCTCCCTCAAGCCCCAAATTGCTGCTTAGCTCCCTCGCTTGAATGCATCCTTTGTGCTGATGCTTCACGAGCCATAAGATTACTGGGGAAAAAAAGAATGTGAAATATGCCTAAGTGAAATGGGCTAGGATACAGTGAGCGGATATCAAAAAGATAGCCCTTCCCTGTCCCATGCTGGCTGGAATGTAGGGCCTTTGGCTCATGTAATGACACGGCATTGACAGCTTTGGTCGACGGCACGACGGTGGAATGAACTCAGTGGTTTTTTCCAGTGGCACACGGTCACGTCTATGTCATTTATTTAAAACATGCAGTCAATTTATTACATCTGTAATTTCTGAATGACTCAGAGATGCTTTTCTGGACAGGAATAAACCAAGATGAATGCTAAATGTCATAGATAAATCCTAGATAAATGATTTCCAGTGTCCCTAATGATGGTATAATTTAGTCCCTGACCAAAGCCGAATGTTAAATGGCCTAGATAAAACCTCGTTAAATGATATCCAGTGTTGCGTCCGCACTGAAGGTAAAATATAATTAGTCCTTGACCAAAGCTGAATACGTAATGACCTAGATAAATGATTTGCAGCGCTAAGTCTCCACTTTTGGTATAATTTAGTCCTAGACCAAAGCTGAATGCTAAGGCCCAATCGCATTTCTTATTTTTACCTCTACCCCTTGTTTTCGAGTGTCACCTTGCCCCTTGGAACTGAGTTACAATGGGTAGTGGTTGAAATCTTTCCCTTCAAAATGGAACAACCTTCAAATAAAAAAGAACATTACTTCATTAACAGCTACTAGCGGTGCTCTGTAGGCGACCCTGCCAGTCTGCAGTGATAGCAGAGGAGGGAAAAGTTCAGCAACCTCGCTAGTTACATTTAGGGCATCATATGCCTTCAAAGTGGGGGATACGATAATTATGTATTATCACCCACCCCTAATTCTTCAGTGATATGAAGCTGAAGTCAGTTATTCGCCAGATTCTTGTTTGAATTTTACTGTTCCACCTTAAAGGGAGCAGTAGTTACATTCTGGCACTTCAGGTTTCAGAACTGCTGGACTATTTAAGGTGGAACGGGAAATTTAGCTAGCTAGCTACTGAGACATTAGCGTACTATTACCGATTTTTTATGCTAGTTATGAAAAAAAGGACGATAATACATTAAAATGACTTTAAAATGACATTAAACTAAGATAACACAGTGGTTAGCGTCATTTTTTAACTGTGAAAATTCTCACATTTGTAGGTTTCTTTGGTTGCAGCCATCTTGCCGGGTTTTCTTTTTTTCACAACATTCTATATGGAGTGTGCTTCTGAAAAACCTCCGTTTGGAGGGCCATGTAGCCCTAACACTTCGCCCTACCCCTCTGTCTCAACAAAACTCAGGACACCCTACCCCTAGGCGTGAACGTGTAAAGCAGAGATGTAAGGCTAAGTGGTAGGGTCAAGGGGTGACATGGGATTGGGCCTAAATGACCTAGCTAAAACCTAGCTAAATGGTTTCCAGCGCTAAGTCCACTGAAAGTACAATTGCTAAATAGTATTAAGCTGAATGCTAAATGACCTAAGGCTAAGTGGTAGGGTCAAGGGGTGACATGGGATTGGGCCTAAATGACCTAGCTAAAACTTAGCCAGCGCTAGGCCTGCTGAATATTTAATTAGTCCTAGACCAAAGCTGAATACTAAATGGCCTAGCTAAAAACATAGCTGATTTCTAGCTTTCACTGATGGCAAAAACTATTGATTCCCATAGGGTTTACGCCTAGTCCAGCTGAACGTGCAGCTGGTCAACCACCTTTACCATCTAGATCAGCAAGAATCTAGCTAATGACTAGCAGTGAACACCTTAGACCTTCTGAAACCAGCTACCACCAAAAAGCTGGTTTTAGCTGGATATTTCAGGAGGATTTACACAAAAGCCAGGTGCTAATGACTTAACCTAGCTAAACAATTACCAATGCCATGTTCCCACTGAAGGTGTTATTTAGTCCTAGGCCAAAGGTAAATGCTAAATGACCCGGCTAAAACCTAGCTAAATGATTTCCAGCGCTAACCCCTCACTGATGGTGTAATTTAGACGTAGATTAAACTCCCCTCCACCCCAAATATGCAAACCTAATGCTAGTCTTTAAAAGTCCCCACTGTAATTCAGTCTTACTGTAGTCTTCGTGTAGACGAGACATAATCTTGAAAATACCAAATTGGAGTCCAATGAAAATGACTGACTTTTGCTTAACTTATTTTATCTGAATGCATCTTAGACACAATGCAGTGCACAGAAGGAATGCTTTACTAGTCCACACTAGTCCAAGCTTTTCCATGTTTCATCATATCTCCATATCACTGTTCCAGAGTCAGACTTCACCCAGGATGCTGTGTGTCTGAGTGAATGCCGAAAAGAGAAGGACGAGACAGAACACTATTGCTACAGTGAATTTGGTGAGTTTCTTTCAGTTTAACACATTGAACATCTATCGATGAGCATGCTATAAAACCGATTTGTTGAGTTCACTCAAATGATTCAGGGAAAAGAACTGCCTCATTTGAGTTGCAGGAGAATCTAAATATTAGAGCTAGTTAAGTTAAATTAGGGCTGAATGTGACCTTCACAGTAATGGAGCCTCAAATGAACCAATACTTTTCCATAAACAACTTGAGTTCTCAGCAAATCGGGTTTTACAGTGAAGCCCGAGTGCCTGATTCCTGAGAAGGAGTGCTGCTCCACAGTCAGCTTATATTATATGACTCCTAATGAAAAATCGAAGCACACAATGCAGTGTTTGTCCAAATACCTAGGTGTACTTTCAATTTCAATTTATATTAATTTTAGGAGAGATTGTGTGTGTAATTATTTTGTTGTGTAAAATTCTGCCTACTCTCGATTAGTTAGAACAACACAGTTTGTTTGGGGATGAACCATTTAAAACTGGAAACTCAAAATTACGTGGCAACACTAAATATTCTAGTGGTTCGATATGATTAATTTGCATATTTCGACTAAAACTGTGCTCTGTGCCACAATTCTCATTACTTTCAATTGTATTTTTGCCAGCCTAGCAACAGCTGGACCAATAGAAAGTGTGAATTAGGGTGCTAAACCTTGCTATAGTCTGCTTAAATCACAGTACAGTACTGCAGAGTAATGAAAGGTACACTCTTAAAAAGATGGTGCTTCAAGGGTTCTTTAGTAAAGAAAGTGGTCCTGTATAGAACCATGAACACTCAAAGAACCCTTTGCATGATTAAAGAGTTCTTTGCATTATGAAATGGTTCTACATAGCACCCAAAACTGTTCTTTTATTGTTACAGTTTCAAGCTTGTAACAATAGAAGAACCCTTCTGGGTGCTATATAGAATCCCTTTCAAAAAGGTTCTGTATAGAACTGTCCATAGCACATTCATGCACATTTTCCGTCAATCTGAAGAACCCTTTCATGATGCAAAGAACACCTTTAATCATGCAAAGGGTTCTTGGAGTGTTCATGGTTCTATATAAGACCATTTTCTTTACTAAAGAACCCTTGAAGCACCATCTGCTTCAAGAGTGTACTTAAAAAGGTTCACTAATCGTTCTTGGCTTTGATGTATGGAGCATCAGGAGTCCCTCAGGACCACTTTGAGAACCACTGCTTGATGGAACCTGAATTAGTTCATAACAAAGAACCAATTTGTCATCTTTATTTTAAAGAGTTTAGATGTATCAGGCTTCACAGTCCATTGACAATCCAAGGTAAACAATATGATCATTAATCAAATTTCAGCCATCAACGGCATTGTCCACGACATCGATATGATCCGTCGAGGCATCAGGCTGGTCACTCTGCTGGTGAACAGCGACGGCTTCTACAAGATGAGCCGCCTCTACGTCACTCCAGACACATACTTCTTCAAAGTGAACGTCCTGGTGCTGGACACCTTCAAATGCACCAAGCCCTGTCCAGACTTCAAACTGGGTGAGTAGTAACTCCTTCATGGAGTGAATGGGTCCACTGTTTTCAACCCTTTGGCTTTTACAGCCTGATTAGGTGAACCTGTGATGTTTTTTTTAACGGAATATGAAGTAATGACCTACATTCCACTGAATGACTTTTAAACTCCATAACAGTCCAGTGGACGCCTGCAGTCAGCTCATCAGCCAATTTTGAGTTCAAAGAAGTGTAGTAAAGAAAATAAACCAGCCATCCAAACCTTTTTTTTAACTTTCACATTAATTTAGCAGAAATTTATTCACGTTGAGAGTTATTCCTGTCATTTTGATATGCATTTAAATATATAACTGCATATTTAATTACGCAGCGAATGTGGTACGAATTGAAAGTTTAGAATCGGCAGTTTCTCTACTTGCAAGTCAAAATAATTAATACAAAAATTACACCATATTAATTAGCACTGCTAATAACTGACTTCTATGGGTTAATCAATGTTTTTTTGGTGGTTAAACACCCATGACCACGAAAATAATGCTCTTTTCCTCTATTTGATCCGGAATATGTGATGTTTTATGTTTTACAGGCAGCCGATACATAGTAATGGGGCAGATTTATCACCGGAGACGCCATCTTCCCACCAGTCTCCTTGCTCTCGTTGGAGGCAAGCTCAAACCAGGCGATGGTCTCCTGCGCAGCAGCAACTACGTCAAACGCTTCAACAAGAGAAGGCACCAGAAAGCTCAGGAGGCCACACGCTCGAGGTGCAGGTGAAAGAAAAATAACAGGAAAACGAAGAAACTAGTAGCCTCGCTACTGACACCTGCTGCACGGGAGGACTAACTGCGGCCTTATGTAAAAATAAAAAAGAAACAACCTCATAATCATGCAGTATTATCGGAGGAGAGAGGGACAAGCAAACAATGGCTTCTCTGTCCACTCTGTCCGAGCGTCCTAGGGTCAATCAAATCCAAGTGGGGATATTTTGCTTGCTGTACAATGCTTGCCTTTTTGCTTGTCCTCTTTCATAGACGACTCCGGGGGGAATCTGCTGAATTCCACCCAGTCGCAGAATATCTGATTCATGTCTGGAACATGAACCAAGAACCGGCTAAATGTTTCCTTCACGACATTCAGAGAAAAACTGCAAAATTACATTTTTTTATGTTTATATATAATGGATAACAGTGGATAGATGCAGCAATACCCTTTTGAAAAAGAACTACGGTAATACTACAGAACATTCTTTAGGATTCCTGTTGTAAACTGACAAATGTAGCACAAAAATGTTATAAATCATTATAAGATGGTACTACAGGAATATTACACGCAAGTAAAAGTGTTGAAGTCTACAGAAATCTAATAGCTTCTTACTGTATTACTGCAGGCTTTTTTTATGAGGGTAACCACGACCACATATACACGCAACCTAGTACGCTTTCAGTGGGCACTTAAATTTACACTTCCAGATAAGGAAGAGCTGTTGGCAGAGATTTTAGTGTTTCTTTACAAAATATACAGCACCTGATGTTACCTACAGCTGACATGTACACCCTGTTTCACTGTCCTCTATCCAATCACACTTTTCACTGCGGGAATGTCATGTGTCATTACAACACATTCCCCATGCTTTGTTTGTTTTCCGTTCACACCATTTGACCGGCCACACCGGGCCAGCATTAGTGAAAAATAGGAACGGTCGTTTACCCCGTCTGCAGGACTGCCACGGGACAAGCCAAGAACACAGAGGTCCTATTTAGCCCCCGTTTTCTTAACATTGCTTTCTCCCTTTAGTCAAGCTTCTTATCAGAATTCAGGAAATGCACTGTTACGCTCAAAAGAAAAAGAGAAAGAATGAAAGAAACGGGGGGATGGGGTTGGAACGGGGACAAGGGGAAGTAAAAAGGGGAGAAAAAAGGTTAAAAAAGAAAAAAACAAAACTGAAAACCAAAACCCTTTTCTTTCAGACAAGGTTGTATTTCCATCTGACTCTCCGAGCAGTAATGTATGAAAGCCCTTTCGCACCAGGCAGAAGAGAAAAAGGCAGGGATGTGTCAAAATTTTTAATTAGAATATATAATACATATGAAAAAAAAAAATAAAGCAATGACTTTTGTCTAAAAATATTGACTTGCTATCTCAACCACTTATGTTTTCAATATACTGATTTAGTATCTCATTTATTCGTCTAAAAATATTGATTTAGTATCTCGAAATAATGACATTTTCTCAAAATATCATGAATTACTTATTTTCCCAAAATATTGACTTAAGATCTCAATCACTTATGTTTTCAATGTACTGATTTAGTATCTCATAATTATAATTTACTCAAACTATTTAGAAATAATGACATTTTCTCAAAATATTGACTCAAGATATCAAAAAATGACTTATTTTCTCAAAATATTGACTTAAGATCTCAAAATGACTTAATTTTCTCAATATTGTGACAGTATCTCAAAGGAATGACTTGTTTTCTCAAAATATTGAATTATTATGTTGAAATAATTATTCTAATTATACCTCAAAAAGTAATGAATTTTTGAGAAAATAAGTCATTATTTTGAGCTACTTTTTTTTTCCTCCTCTACCTGGTGGGAATGGGCTTCAATAGGAAATCGGATTACGGAGTGTGAGTGAAGATGGAGAAGGCCGGTGTGTATCGGGGCGTGTGTGGGAGTGTGTGTGTGTTTGCGTTCTAATCGGACAGTAATCTGATCCTGCGCGCACCTGGTTACATGAAAGAGGGCGGTTCTGTTTAGGGTCCAGCAAGCAAAAACACCGGCCAGGGCCTTAGGGAAGCCTGCAGGGCTGGTAATGTAACGCCACCTATGGTGAATGTTTGCCCTCACACACACACACACACACACAGAGGCTTTGGCTCAAACTCAAAGGAAGTGTGCGAAGGGGCCGGAGTGGAAGGGGAGATGGGAGAGGTACAGGCCGAAAAGAAGAGGAGCTTTATGGAAGTGTTGGGTGAGAAAGGAAAAGAGAGGGAACCTATAAAACTCCCCGTTCTGTATGCCTTGGAAGGAAAGATTTAAAGGAACTGGCTTCTCTTTGTTAAGGAGTAGTCCAGCAAAATCACATGTGCCCGAAATGTAGTCGATCAGCCAAGACGTGTTTGGTGTCTGAAATTTGCCTCTTTAGTTTTGCTCTGGAGCTACAAGGCTAACGTAGCAAATAGGTAATGGAAGCTTATACTCCACTCATTAGCATCAATGTAAAACATGTGTGGAGTTGTTCAGTAATCTCAAGTAGACTTGCTTATATGGTTTCTGACACTGTATGACACACTGTTATATATAGAAATGCACCACATGTATTTGAGATTACTTAAAGGGACACTTAAGCCAAAATTTGGAAATAAAAAAATGGCTAAATCTGTTGTAAACAGGTCTGCTTGCCTCTTACAGCGATGTTGAAGTAGCCTACATCAAGGTTTTCTGGTTTAAAGTCTAGGAAAACCCCCTTCTGACGACACACCTTGAAGGTGGAAGAACTACATGTACTTTGAGGGAGGGCTGTTTAAATGCTTTTATTCCTGTTAGCCAAGATAGCTAATCTTGCTACTAGGACACTGACTATTTTATTGCAATGTAATAATCATCAAATCATTATTACAGTAGAGAGAATAGATTACTTAGACCACAGAAATGACTCAGATAAGAAGCTTTATTCCATTGAGTTGCTGTATTATGCAAGCTAAAGCTAAAGTTAGCATGGTTACCTTGCTATCTAGACATTTTTCCTTAGTTTGGCTTCTTTTCAGAATTCCTCAGTTGAATCGTATCTTTAAGGAAGATAAAAATGACCTTATTTGACAACCAAGGCAAGAGTTATACAAATGCTAGCTTGGTTGTTTCTGTTAGCTTCTAGATTAGTGGCTAGCAGTTAGAATTGGTTGAAACCACAGGGATTCCCAGTGATTGTATACTGTGTTAGTGTAATGCTTGCTGTATTATAGTGCGATTAAAAACATGAAAATGATGTAATAAATTCGGTTAAACATGAGATTTCTGTGCTACTTCTGTGCTATAGAATACTACATAACATGACAAATAACATGCTAAATGCTAGTTTCAGGCCAGAATGCCCATTTAACAACTCAACACCGTTTGAAACAAATGTATAAAGATTCAGTGCTAATCAGTTCACGTTGGGTAACGTTTAAGGTTCATGTGTTACCAAACATGTCTTGGCTAATCGACTATGTTTAATATAAGAAGGGAAACATTGTGTTTGAGTCTAAGGAATATTGGAGGTTGGAATGGCAGATTCATTTTATTATGCACTGCGGATGCACATTTTGTCTCCTTCAAAAATTATATTAAATAAAATATTGTTTTTTTACCTCTTTGTTGGAGTGGTTCACTGCATTCTGAAAGATGTTGTGATAGCGAGGAAATTGCTCACTGTGTGTGTACGAAGGAGCTGTTCCCAAAAAGTTCACTTCCTCTACAGCTTTTCGAGGTTAATGATGGCTCCCAGCGATAAAGAAGCCTGTGGACGTGTGGAGAGTCAACTGGAACCTTTACATGGTCATGGTCATGGTCTATGAAGTATATGATCTGCTATAAGGGCACATTCAACACAGTTAGACGCACACAGATCACTGTGATAGAGCAGAAACAGGGCAGGGCATATAGCAAGCCTATAATAACAGTACTAATCAAGCTCCTTTTGGGCTGATATGGCCTATTACACTGATGTTTATACTGATTATTAGCTTCTTTCCCAGGGATCAGAGCTAGCTTCAATTTCCTCAGTGTTATGTACCTAAACAATACAATATGTTTGAACTTTTGTAATGCTATTTTCAAATGTTAACACTTTCACTAATACTCAAGTATGTGAGAAATCTGCTTTTCTATTCAGTTTCATTCAAGCCATTTACACTGGGCAGCACTCTCTTGTTAGGTTTAATTTAATTCTATTGTATTAGTTAGCCTGTCAGTTAGAGCTTTAGCATTTTATTTTAGACCAACAGGATCCAAAAAGAAAACAGAGCCCGAGAACGAAAAACTAAACCATGGCTACTTCTGTTGTACTGTGGCACATCCTAGAGTTGTGCCACAGAATCCTCTAGCATAAGATTTTCTACTTTAATGACCAGCAAAAGCCCCTTCTGTTGATGTATCTTGAAGGTGGGAGAAGCTTTTGGAAAAATTAAAAGTGCTTTGGTGTGGATCTTTGGGGGCGGCCTGTTTGAAAAGCTTTTTTCCCCTCTCTAGCGAATACAGAAGAAGCTGAACAGCTAGCATTACTGCTAGGAAGCTAAATGTCTTCTTGAAACTGTATACCTGTAATAACTGTTCAAATCATCTTTACAATGGAGAGAGTGGATTATTTAAACAACAGAAATGATAGACAATAGCAAGAAGATGAAGATAGCAAGGCTACCTGGCTAGCTAGATAATTTACCTCAGTTTGGCTTCAACACAAAATGGACACCATAGAGAATTTTTTAGTCATTCAGCCAGACAAAAACAGGGGTGTAGCCAGAACCTTTTCAATGATGGTCAGATTAGACCCAGAACTTTTTGGGGTGGCAAACTGTGAGGTAACATTATGAGAGAATATTGCACTATTAAACAAATGCATTTACCAAGCTGGAAAAAGTATTTAGCTTACATGGTTAATGACAGATGTTACTATATGATAGTCAATATTTGTTTGATAGTGTTTTGTTGATGTATTTTTGATAGTTACCTCATCTTAGCATTGTACTTCATATTATGTAGCTCACAGAGCAGCATTACTGACCTGTACTGGGTAAATTATTAGTTTAAGATGAACAAGATAATAGCATTAATAATCAGTTAATCACATTTTTTTTATATATTTTCACTCTGAAACAGTGATTTTATCCCATTTTCCCATTACGCTATGTGAAAAATATTGTACATTTTGCTCCCTGAACTCTCTGCTGAACATTGAAATCTTCAGTTACAGTGATGTTACAGTAATCCACGTACAGCAGAACATATAATACTCCAATGTAGAGATTTATTTAGGTGCTTTTAATGCTTTTCTAATGTAAAAAGCCAATGTTAGCCACTTCCTTCAGCAAAACAAACAAGAATAAAGTTAAGGTTTTGAGTGGAATTTACTGTAGTGGCTGGAAGGGTGTCTACACCTCATGGTAGGATGGCACTGGCCATGTCTGGCAACCCCTTGCCTGAGCAACTGTGCTGAATAAAGACAGCATCACTGTTTTCTTTATGATTTTGTCAGTGAGGTAAGAGTAGCTAATGCTAGCTTCTCTGTATTTATTAGCTTATAGCTCAGTGGCTAGGCTATCACTCATTGTTTGACACTACAGATTCCCAGTGGCTGTTATATTTGCATAATGCATGTTTGTCATGGTAGTAATATGAAGTTAAACTGAAGTTCTATAGGGAAGTCAGTACTGGAGGACTTTTTTGTCCACTTTTGCTGCTTACATTGATGTAATAAAATGCTCAAAGGAAACAAGAAGCACAATTTGCTGTCAAAAAACATGATTTTATTATTATCTAAGATGTTCTATCAAGTACAAAAAGATAACTTTAGTTGCCACAGTCTGTTAAAAACATAGATATCCCCCCCCACCAAAATCTGTCTTCAGTCTTACTACAAATGAAGTGTCTAACAGATCTGCTGAATAAATTATACAGAATAATGTGAAACTGAGTGTGTTTTCCTTTACAAAACACCTTGGTGAACTTCCCCCCTGCGTTTAAATCGTTATGCCCACAATATGCAGCATTTTAATACAAAGGGTCATTTCACCTACATGTAAAATACATCTCAAAGATGCAAAAAAGAAAAAAGGACATATTTGTCGAAATATGAGGGAGGGTCAAACATAAGGGCACCAGTGCCTTCTTGTGACTACATGAAGTCTATGCGTTTGCTTGTGTAGATAAATGAATTAAACAGACACAGACTGGCCTGTTCGGTAAGGAGTGTATTTAGGCCTCATAGCTTATCACATGTAATAGTATATACATACATATATGTGTGTGTGTGTGTATATTTATATATATATATATATATATATATATATATATATATATACACACACACACACATATATGTATGTATGTATGTATTTATGTGTGTGTGTGTGTGTGTATAAAATATATATATGGCCACTTCATTAGAAACTCCTGCCTTGTAGCTTGTACACTTAGAGGTTAGCCCATCTGTTCATAAACATTTTTTGTTAGCCATCCTCTAGCACTTCATTAATGGTCATTGGAGGGTTGATAAATTGTGCAGCAGCAGATGGGCTGCAGTCTGTAATTGTAAACTTATATGGTGGACCTACAGCACTGTGCAAAAGTCAGAGACCACCCTTCATTTACTTAATATTCACTCAAAATGCCCATTACTGTATGTACAGGTTGTTCATTTTAACAGATATTTCTAAAGAGATCTAAAACAAAGCAACAGGTAATTCTGTCAATCCTTCCAGAAAATGCTACCAACATCTAAGACTGAACTTTGGAGGTGTGGCTGCAGATTTCTTTGAGAAACGGAAAGCAAATGAAAAGAATGGAAGCTGTAATAAAGGCAAAGAGTGGATCTATTTAGTTGTTGAGGCTTCTGTGTCATTTGTTTTCTGCTTTTTCCTGAAGCTGAAAAATGGCAATTTCTGGAAAGTAATTAAATGAAGAGTGGGCTCTGACTTTTTTCACAGAACTGTGTAAGGTTGGGGAGCTCATAAAGTGGACAGTGAGTGGAAATACAAGGCAGGGGTTTCTAATAAAGTGGACAGGGAATGCATTCAGCTTCGTTTGCTCTTGAAACTCTCCCTTGAAATACTGCCCTGAAATTCCAACAAGACAAATTCCAACAGTGTGTCTGTGTGAATTTCACATTATAAAGCCCCAAACATGATAAAAATGTCTAAGAATCTTTTTAAAACCTCCAACTAACCAGCAGTAAAAGATAAAAAATGCCTTCCTACCCCTGCGCTGTCTCAGAGAGCCACATGTACAGACCATAATGTATTTGTTTTTCCGCATTTCCGCACATTGGGGGTTCGAGGGAGGAAAAGCTGCATGACCCAAAGCTCCTTGAGATTTTTCTTTACATTAAGGTTTAATTGCCTCTTTTAGCTATTTTAGGACCGTCCTTCCTGAGGAACATTCCTATTCATGAGGACTTGGGAGTTTTTTTTGTGGTTTCACTGCTCTAAACAGTCGCAACAGTGAAAAGCTTATGACTGGAAAAGTAAAAAACAAAACAAAACAAAAAAATTGGTGTCAAAAACAACAAAACAATCCCCATAATATATATATCAAAGAGAACAGAATTATATACATAACTTGCATTATCTGAGCTCCATATTGTTTCCAAGCCTGGCTGGAGTATCAGTTGTGTGCTGCCAAGTGTGGTGGTGGAAGGTTTGAACGGGTTTAAAGCAGATGCACCTCTTTTGAGAGGCTAATAACAGAAAACAGTGATCTAAACTGATGTGAAAACAGCATTCAGCAGGTAGCTGGTTGAACAAAAGGAGGACGGAAGGACAGACTGGCCTCAGACTGCAGGAGAATGGATGCAGATTGATACAACAAACAGTAGAAATCTATAAAAATGGCCAAAATTCCACTTCATCTGGAAAAATGACCACAACAGTCTGGACAGTTCATAGGTTATGGTCCATCCTCGGCCAGAAAAGGCAGTCCTCCTTATTTACATATCCTCACTGTCTTGTCAAAACCTTGTATCTCTACTTTCTTTAATTTTTTCTTTGTTTATTTTAGACCATTTGTAACCGCTACCCTTTACACTGTGTGGACATTTCATGCTGAATGGACAAACAAATAGCCCGAAACTGTCTATCTGAAGTGAACCTTCTTCACATTCATTCGAACAGCTTGTGGAGGCCCTTTTTGCTTTTGTTAGTTTGCTGCTCGCTGACTTATCCATAGCTCTCCCACGAGCACTGTCTAGTGTCTGCTGAAGATGGTGAAGGTATCACTTTAAAAGCCATTTAAAAGCTGTATTTGAACGAGAGGGTTACAATCGCAAATTCTATCATAGCAACATACAGCTGAGCTTCAGCCTGGACTACGGCAGCTGGTGTCAAATAAGGAAAATGAGTTAATGGGCGATGTGGCAAAATGTATCACGATACCTCAAAAAGTTTTTTTGCACTACATGATGTAATGATATACATTTGATTTGATAAACTGGAACAGAAAAAGTAAGCCCACATTTTAAAAATACTATCAAAACTATGAATTTGATTATTTGTATTCAACATTTCACACACTGTGCTGCACTAATTCCAATTAAACAGGACTAATCATGCTCTCTTTGTAATCAAACATGCAGTAAGTGTATTTGTCCATGATATGCTCAGAAAAGTATATCACTGCTGTCAGATGAAAACCTTGCATCTCCATTTTTGTTATTTTTCAGTTTCTGACATAATCTGAAAATGCTTGTTGCCCTTTACATTGTGTGTAAATTTCATGAAGAACGGACCGAAAGAAATGACCCAAAACGACTTGGGGAAAAAAAAGTCTGGTTCTATAGACTTACATTAAAAGTAAAGTAGGTTTTCTCTACTGTAAAGTTACCATTTTGGAGATACAAGGTTTTCTTCCGACAACAGTGATATGACACTGTGATATAACTTATCACAATGATAAATACTGTCATATTGCCCAGCTCTAGTTAACGGTGCTAAAAGAATCAGTGGTGCTAATACTTTGTCACATTAATGAGCTATTAACACATGGACCAATAGAAGTGGTCCACAGTCATTCAGCTCATGGAGGCTCTGGAGGGGAACCGGACCTTTCCACTTTGCTGTTGCTTTTGTTAGTTTGCTGCTCATTGATGTATCCATAGGTTTCCATACGTCTGCTGAAGATATTGCTTTAAAAAAACATTTTAAAGCTGTATTTGAATAAAAGGATTACAATCGTGGATTCTATTAAAGCAACATACAGCACACTGCAGCTGGGCTTTAGCCTGGACTTCTACAGCTGATGTGAAATGTCATACGAGGAAAAAGAGTTAACTGCATTAAAAAATTGTGGCACTGAATAATTTATCATGTTAATGTGCTGTTAACAACAGAAATGGGCCAGAATTCCTCAGAATAAAATGTAGTTCCATTTAAAGTGAAGAACATTCTTTCTTTCCCTATTTTAGAGACACAAGGTTTTGTTATGACAGTGACAATATGTGACACTTTAAAAGAGCTAACTGATGCTCTTTTCCTCTTTTTTGCCTTGAAATGGTCCTGTAGCCCCTGATGACCACATCCTATTGACCAGTCCCTCACATCCTGTAACAGCAGGAGTTCCACTGGGGTGTGCATTGTGCTCCCTTAGTAGTCTCAGACAGGGCCTCATCACTGGGAGTACCGACTTCCCGGTTATACAGTTACCAAAGAGCTTAGGGGTGCTGTAGGTTAAGAAGCTGTAGACTGTAGTCTGTTGTTATGAGACCTACAGAATGCAGAAAACAAGAAACAGGAGGATGACAGCTGGAGTTACATTTTTTTTATTAAAAGCTTCACAGTAAAAAAAAAGGATGCCAGTGGGTCGTTTTCTTTAGCTTTTAATAACAACAGGAAAATAAAAAAAATAAAAAAGGTAGCAGCCATGCTGGTGTGAATCTATATTTCCTGTCCCTACTGTAATTAATGTTAGAATGGAGTTCATCAGAAATGTGATGTCCACATACCTATGGAACAAATCTATGGTCTCTATTCTGTAATGCTCCTTCACAAAAGGATTTTAATGCATAAAAATATTATGTACGAATACAAACTGAGGTAAAAGACTAACAAATTAGGTCATTTAACATTTCCAAATGTCCGAATAAGGACAAGTATGTTACAAGATTTGTGAGGTAAGCCTGTTTTCACACCGCTGGTGTGTGAAAATGTATATATATATATATAAAAAAAAGCTTATCTAGACAAGTTTCTAAAGTACTAAATACATTACACTGAGGCCCATCACTGAAACTCAGTGGAAAACATACTTGATGATGTAAATAAATGTACTTTGATAAGTTTAAAAAAAAAAAAAGAAAAAAGTAGCTTTTCTCCCTTGATTGCACGAGTTACCGACATGGCTGCCACTTTATGATCGGTCACTCCATCTGCCCATATCGCCCCCACACTGCTTTTGGTTTGATTAGAGGGGGGTTTGTCCATACAAAAATGTCATGCTGTTTTTTTCTTTTCGTAAAGAAAAACACAGCTGAGGTCCACCACTGGCTAGCTTAGAGTGACCCAGGCATCATAATCTGTGAATATGAGAGAGAGGGAGGGAGAGGGAGAGGGAGAAAGGGAGAGAGAGAGAGAGAGAGAGAGAGAGAGAGAGAGAGAGAGAGAGAGAGAGAGAGAGAGAGAGAGAGACAGAGAGAGAGTGAGAGAGAGAGAGAGAGAGAGAGAGAGAGAGACAGAGAGAGAGAGAGAGAGAGAGAGAGAGAGAGAGAGAGGCAGGTTGACGTATGAAAATGCATGCAGAACACAACTGAACTGTGTGGAGAAAATTATGCATATGATAATACTAAAATTAATAATAATAACAAAATAAGCATCCACCTGAAGAGCTAGTGTACTGACACTACATACTGTCGTTCAGTAACTAGCAGTGCAAAATAAAAATGTGCAATGGTAAAATGAAAATATGACATACTAGGGCTGTCAAATGATCAAAATAATTAATCACAGTATTTCTGTACAGTTAATCACGATTAATCTTGCCTTATTTTGTACAGTTAATCTTGAGGTGAACACAGAAACTGAACATGAAAGTCAAGTGATTTCCAAAGTCAGACGTTATGCTGTTGCAGCTTAAAAGTAATATACACTTTTAATACACACATTTTTGCGTAGTTTTGTAAAAGTAAATGTATTTATCGATTTAGTTTATTGGATTTTTATATAAATTTTAAATTATTATTTTTATTTATAGTTTCCTAAGAAAAGCATGGATTGGAACTGGAAGACACACACACACACACACATATACAGTACACTTACATCATATATTGCCTATACTGAATGATATTACAATATAGTAAAAAAACAGTAATGACTGATGTACTAATTGATGTACTGAGACAATGTAATTTCGTTCTCTTTACTTCTTTTTAAAAATATGTACATATCCGATAGTGATACAAAGTGAATTCTGTATTTCTTTTTATTTTTTAAAGACTTCTCCAGTAATAATAATAATAATAATAATAATAATAATAGAATAAACATCTAAGTTCCACAGTGACTGCAGTTTCCCATTTTAGTCACTGAAGTCCAGTGAGAGCAACTGTATCTGCACGTACCAACCAGTGATTAAATGTATCATATATAAGTCGATGGTTCAACTCTGGTGACTATAGACTCTCTCTGTCATTCATACAGCTCACAGGTTCTTGTTACATTGGAGGCTCTCGAGAGGAACTGGAGCTCCACCAAGCTTTAAAAGCCATTTAAAAGCTGTATTTCAATAAAAGGGCTACAATCACGCAACATACAGCGTGCCATGGCTTCAGCCTGCACTGCTACACATGGTATGAAAGGTCAAAGTCAGAAAACGAGTCAAGTGCATTTAAAAAGATGAGTGGTGTTAAATATAATTTATTAATTTATTATTACTTTGTCAACTTTCACAGCCCTAACTGATTATTTGCATTGAAATACGCAAACAAGAGGCACTTTGTGTTAAACGTTACAAAAAGTAAAGCAATGTCTATTTGATGTAAGAGGAAAAATAAGAGTGAAAAGTGAAAAAGCAGCTTGGCAAAAAGAGCAAGCATGATCCAGAATTCAAAGACAGAGTTAAAATAAACGTCAAAAAGAGAGAAAGGTGATAGACTCATGAAATGAGACAGAGAGGACAAAGTAAATAGAGGAGAAGAGAGGAGTGTTAGAGAGAGAAACAGAGAGAGTCAGGTGCCCAATCTAAATCTCTGGACTCTGGTCTCAATGACTTTAGGCCTACATTCTGTGATGTTCACTGAAGTTCTCACTGTCATCACATCTAATCTGCAAGGCTGCAGGGCTGCAAGCGTATACAATGCACTAATGACATTATACTTCAGCTGAACTTCTTTCCATAGTTGATATTCACACTAAAATCTGCACATCTAGACAAACTGTGTATTACTTAATTTGAAAGATATTCATCTTTTGTTTAAAGCTATGTAAGTTTTGGGGATTTGGAGACCTCTCTGGTGGAAATGTATAATTGCATGCAAAATGGGAAAGAACATTTTGTAGTGTGGGTTGTGCTTGAGAACCCAGCTCAGAGCAGATCAGTCCGATGAGTGGAAGAGAATTCAAAGAGAACTCAGTCTAAACTTGGTGAGGGACGTGTCTTCCAAGGATGTGAGTAAATTATCTACTACTATCATAATATCTTCATCATTGTAATGTTGATTTTGCTTTTGAGACCTAAACATCGAGCCAGACCTTCTCTTTGCGCCTGTTTATGCAACATGAATATATAAAGACGCTTAAATTATTATTTCAGGGTGACTCACAGCACCACATGTCAGTATGTTTTTTTTCTTCTCACTCAATAATGCTACTTCTTTTAATTATAACAAAAAATCATGCATAGTGCAGCTTAAAATAAAAAAAAAAAAACTGTATTTATTATTATTATTATTTGTAACTCCTCCCATTTTATTTGTCATGTGCGTTTCCCTATGAATCTAAGCGAATTTCTATGCTAACAGTCCTACGGACTTGCTCAGTAATGTGCACATAAAGTCAGCGAGTCTGCAAGTCCGGAGAAGGCCGGAGATTTAGATTAGGCATGTTTGTGTGTGCGCGTTATTTTCCTTTTTACCTGCAAGATTTGAAGGCTTTGAGCTTCTGGACGAAGAAGGTCTCCAGCACCTCAGCGCACTGATAAAAGGGTGAGTCGCTGGGGTTGTAGTAACGACAATTATCAAAGATTCTGGTCATGTCTGCTACATAGTCCGTCAGTTTACTGTAATAGCGCTTCAACAGACGTTCCTCCATCGTAGACAGATCTGTGTGTGAGAGAGAGAGAGAGAGAGTGAGAGAGAGAGAGAGAGAGAGAGAGAGAGAGAGAGAGAGAGAGCGCATTTCTTTGAAAACTATGGACAAATGTGGAAGGATGTCAATAAACAACTTACTCCAACACACTTACAGTTAAGCTTTAGAAGTAATTCAATTATTCTACTACACATCTGATGTACACATAATACACCACTGATAATTATATTATTTATTATGCAAGGAATTACATTTATATTCTATATCAACAGTTTAAATTCAAACAATGACAAGAAAATAGCAAGAATGTAAAAGATGATTTCTCTTGTTGTACATCAAACCAACTTTTAAATGAGCTTTTTTCAAATTCAAAGAAAACTGCTGCCCCTTTAAGTATGCTTCCATTCACATGCATTTACAAGACCTGTTAGTCTGGATGCTGAATTGGTGGATTTCAGACTTAATCATGTTACAAATGTCATGTTCTTAAAAGGGAATTCCACCATTTTTGAAGAAAAAAAAAAAAGTGTATTTCCACTGTTGAAATGTAATAAAGTAATTCAGAGTGTTTTGATGTGAAACGGTGGATTGTAGAGAATCATACTGACTCAAATTTAGCCATTTTAGAGCGTGCTGTTTGGTTCCCTTGGTCCGGACCAAAGCAGAAAATGATCCACAGTTCAAGTTCTGGTTCTCCAACCACTGACAAAAAGACTAAAGATATAAACAAAAGCCATACGGAAGAAAAGCCACACACACAAAATAGTGACTGGGCAGATTTTATGACGTGGCATTAGAAACAGTAACTATGATAATACCCCATAAACTTTCTGAATTTGCTCATACTCAGGCTTAACTGAGCTTGTATGTCTTATTTTATCCGTGTCACTATAATTACTGATTCAGCGCTCACAAAGCGATGATAAACACACCCACTTGTCCAAACAGTACTACAAAATAAACCTGTTGCAGGTACAAAAAGAGAAAAAGAGACGGCAGCTGATTGTGAGCTCGAGTCATTTAGATTTCTTTGTAATGTTTTGCGTCTGAAACATGGAGTTATATATTCCCTGTTTGAATGGAGCGATCGGCGATCTGTTCTCCTGTGACAGATCTGAGTGTGAGTGACGAGATAAGTGGCCTAACTGTACTGTCCTACAGCGAACTCACCTCTTTTCTTACACCCCAACAAGTTTTAGCAGCGTTGAATCACATCTACTTCACACAACTACAGTCATATTTTAGTATTAGTGTGTTCCTAAGCAATGAAAGTGAAAGAAAGAAGTGGGTTCATGCAAGTTACAGCCCTGATTTAAACAAAAGAGCTGCGTGGCACTGGAGTGTGGGAGAACACTAGCTTCCCAGGCTAGCTGTTTTTAGCAGCTGGATAACTTGAAGCAGTGCTCCGTAACTCGCACAGCATGGTGAACGGATGTGACTGTAGATCAAACAAGACAAAAAGTATAGATTTCAGTTTAAGTGTAGTTAAAAGGAGGACTCTTTGTCTTGTGTGAGAGAATCACACTGCAGTTAATGCTTTTACACAGCGAGCGTCAGATATATCGCGGTTCACCCCTCAAACAACTATGATAGAATAGAGAAATACAGATGTCTGCCAGCTGGTGTTTGAATACTGTGATGTGCTCTGACATGGATGTGGTAGGAGTGATGGCAGTAAGGCAGTGTGATCCATCACTGACATATGGAGCCAGCTAGTGTTTGCTGTTCGTACTAAGCTGATGTTGAGAAGCTAAACAGTTTAGCACTTGTAACCAGATAGCCTAACACTCGTCACCAAACAGCAAAAAACAATCTGTTTTCTTTCTTAAATTATGAATATTACAAAAACTGCGGCCGTGCTTTTCCAGCTGGTGAAACAGCTAACCAGACACTTTCCCCCACTCTCCCATGACAGATCTGTGAAATGTTCCACTGTTGGCGAGTGTTTGTCATGTTCTGACTATAAAGGATAGTTAAAACAGCAATTAACCACTCAGGAGCAAAAATCAGCTTGAAAGAAATAATGATGTGACATTTATCGTGATATGTTTCGATATCGAATGACCTCCCAGCTCTAATCACCACACTTGTGAACAATTCTGACTCTAAAATGGAGCATTTCACATCAAACCACTGATTTTCTCTTAAATTTAATTATGAAGAAATTTTGATAAACTGCTTGAATTCCCCTAATCAGCCATTATGATTCATTTCCAATAAAACCTATGCTAAACCTAACTAAGGTGCTGAACTAAGATGCCGTTCTCCTGTAAACACAGGCTTGCAATGCCTGGAAAACCACCCTGAACAACTGCAGCCTTCATAAGCACTGCTACCAGTGAACAGAGAGAGAGAGGAAGTGAGGCAGAGTAAGAAATCTAAACAAACAGATCACCTTCACACCTCACAGATCTAACCCAGATCAGCCAAATCAAAGACACTCACTCTCTCTCTGTCTGCTTTTAACTCTTCACACTCTCCCTCACTTCACTCATTCTTTACTCTGTCCTTCCCACACTCCTTCTCTCCCTCACTCCAGTTCTCACCCTCAATCACTCACAATCCCATCCCATATGTAGTCAGTCAAGACATGTCTCGTGTCTAAAGTTTATTTTATTTAGTTTTGCACTGGAGCTATGAGGCTAATGTAGCTAACAAATGAAGACATATGATGTACTATTATCTAATAATTAGAGGGAGGAATTGTATAAATTTTATCTTTGTCAAATTTTTCAGCAATAAAACGACTGCTTACCCATAGGCTCCTTTATTACTCCATAGTAATCAGGTGCATCTTCTGGATCCACCGGCTCCAGGAAGGGCCACGACATTTTATGAGCCTTGAGAGAGAGAGAGAGAGAGAGAGAGAGAGAGAAAGAGGGAGAGAGAGAGGGAGGGAGAGAGAGAGAGAGAGAGAGAGAGAGAGAGAGAGAGAGAGAGAGAGAGAGAGAGACAGTGAGAGAGAGCGAGCGCGAGAGAGCGAGAGAGAGAGAGAGAGACAGAGATAGCGAGAGAGAGCGAGCGAGCGAGAGAGGGAGAGAGAGAAAGAGAGGGAAAGAGAGAGACAGAGACAGAGAGAGAGCAAGAGAGAGAGAGAGCGAGAGAGAGAGAGACAGAGACAGAAAGAGAGAGCAAGAGATAGCGAGAGAGCGAGCAAGAGAGAGAGAAAGAGAGAGAGAGAGAGAGAGAGAGAGAGAGAGAGAGAGAGAGAAAGAAAGAGAGAGAGAGAGAGAGAGAGCATATTGAGTCTAAACTATAGAATGCAGCTACTTCAACCCAAAACAAACAAACAAAAAACCCCTTCAAAAGGAGGGCACAGTAAGAATGAGAGAGATGGAATAAAGAGAGAAACATACATGGAGGAACAAAGAACAGAAATAATAATTAAAAAAACCAAAACACTCTCCTGGGAAGCCTTCCAAAGTTCAGGCTGATCAGATAAAGCAGAGAGGAAATGGCGGTTTATTTTACTATCAGAAATAAAAAAGATAGGAAGAAGGAAAAAAGATAGACAGCGAGATGGAGGCAGACTCAGAAAGAGTAAGTGGGTTGGTGAGATCCAATATTTGTCCAAACGTATCCAGACACCCCTTTTAACTGGGACAATTTAAGCTGACTGCTGATAAAGCTTGAATCATCTCCATAGAAAACCATTCACCAATAGAATGGGATGCTTGGAAGCCACACAAGAGCCTAAGGTCACCATGAACAATGCAAATTGTGGGCTGGAGGGGTATAAATCCCCCCAGCATTGAGCTGTGGAGCAGTGAAATTGCGTTCTCTGGAGTGATGGAGCTCCATCCAATACCTTGGGGATGAGCTGGAATGAGCCAGAACTGATCATCCAACATAAACCTTACTAATGCTCAATCAAATCCTCACAGCAATGTTCCAACATCAAGTGTAAAGCCTTCCCAAAAGAGTAAAGGCTGTTACTGCAGCAAAGGGGGGCAAACTCTCTATTAATACCCTTCATTTCAGAACACCGGATGAGCAGGCGTCTACAAACTTTTCAACATATGGTATAAAAGGAAATGTAAGAGGAGGGAGTTACAGCAAGAGACATAAAAAGTATGTATTAGGTGGTTCACATCAATTACATGAAACTGTAATTAGTAATTGAAAAGGCTGTGATCTGCTGACTGCACGTGAAGTGAAATGTGATGTTCTAGTCATGATCACCATGGCAACATATCAGATATCTATATGATTTAAGAATGGATCAAATCTGACTCTTTTTGTTTACACTGTGCTGAAAAAAGCATCTGTAAACAGATTCAGATTCAATCCTGTAATGTGAATGCAGCTTAACTGGTATGTGAAAAATACAGGTGTATGAGAGCAAAACTAAACTGAAGTGTTGTGGCCCTTAGCAACAAGTAAAGTGAACTTAGCTAGAGAGTGACATAGACAGACAGACAGACAGAAGGACAAACAGACCTGTAGTGAGCGCAGTATTCTCCGTAAGCCCTCGTAGTCTTTCTCTGTGAGTGGTGTGAGGACGGTCATGGCCTCCTGAGTGGACTGGCACTGTGGGCAGATGTACTCGTCGATGTGCGTCGCTTCACTCTGCAGAATCCCCACACAGCGACCGTGATACCAGTTCTGACAGCGATCACAGCCGATATAAAACCTGTCACAAAGCAGCTCTGTTTAACACCACCAGCAGGGCCACTTTACAACCAATCTATGCTTTCCAGTAAAAGTCTGTAGATGATGTGCATCCATTGGCAAAGGTTTCCAAGGTTTTGCCAGCCTGAAGTAACTACGTGCTAATCCTTTTGGTTGCGTTCATACTCGACACTCAGCTTTATCAAAGTGTCTTCCTTGGTATGAAGAGCAGGTTTTAAATAATGATTCGAAAGGTTTTTTTTAAATCAAATTCTTGTTTGCTTTGGTCCAAATATGGTTAAGGCACCTGAAATGTTTGAGTGCTGTTGAGTGCTGGTATCACAAGAAGGGGATAAAATGAGTGGCCTTTGGCTTTATTCAAGAGGTAGGACTTCTATCAGCCTTTAATTTTTGCAGCGTTGCCAAAGACAACTGACAAGATCTAAACAGCTTTCTACTTAATATGTTAGGCTATTGTAAACAGTCAAAGAAAACATGCTTGTTTAGTAAAAAAAAGCTAGACTTTATGACAAAAAAAACAGCAAAACAAAACTTTAAACACATGATTAAACATGTTTTACCTAAAAACAAAGCCAATTATAACATCAACCTGGTAATGGGATTCTCAAAGGAGAAACATTCCTAATAATGTCATTTAGTCCATTTATTTGCATGCAAAAATCATCTCACCAAACATATACTGCTGTCCTATCAAAATCTTACTTAGTTTGCATTGAAATCCATATGCTTACTGAATAATAAACCTCAGTATGTAAAAAGGCTGAGATTTTAAGCTGCCATTTTGTGAACATTTCATTAGGAATGGACCAACAGAAATGATCCAAAGGTAACTTGGGCTAAAATCTCATTATGTAAACTGACATTCAAAATTAAGAGCCCGTTTCCTTCCTCTATAAAGTGACTAAATGCTTTTGAGTTTCTGCAACAACGATGGTGTAAAATTCAGAGAAGTCTTTTCCTCTCAGGCCGCGTCATGTCCCTCACACTTAATTTTATCAGATGGAGGCGCATGTTTCTCAGCCTTGTGCAACTCTTAACAGCTTCCATACAGCTCTGCCAAATGAGGCGACTCCTCTGAACCCCACAGTGCTAAGTTAATGTGATCTCTCTCTGTGGTTTTGTCAGGAGTAGTGTGTGTGTGTTGTGCTTAGTTTCACACACTTCATTACACTCAAACAGCTCCCTCAAACAATATGTTAAATTCAGCAAATAAACAGCAACTGTGCATTGAAATGTGAAGAAGTGTGTTCTCTGTAGAGGATGTGTAAACGTCCTTTCATTTAGCATATCAACAATACACACCTTTTGAGCAGGGGCGCTCTAAGTTTTGCATACAAAAAGCTTTTGTGTAAATACTGTGACTGCAATACACACTGCCATTTCTCAAAAACAAGTAAATCTGACCATTTCACATGGTTATTTTCCACACAGTTATTCGTCTTATTGAAAAATAATGCATTTAAAATTGGACTACATTAAATATAAAAAAACCAAACAAGGCGACTATAAGAATCTAATTTCTGAGAGCAGTTAGCAGCTCTATCACACACCCACACCCGACACTCACTGTGCTTCGTCGTAGGGAGTTCTGCAGATGCAGTAAAGCTCCTCTGCGCTCCCCTCCTGCACACGTTTGCACTCCACACACACATAATCATCCATCTTCTTCGCCTGCTTCTCCGTGATACCCACACAGTCACCGTGGTACCAGTTAGTGCATAAATCACAGCCTATATAGAACCTACAAGGGCGAGGGGAAGAGGGTGGGGGGCAGGGACAGAGTAAGACTCCTTCATTTGCAAAGATTCACGACCTGGTTTGCTAGGTTCAAAAAGACATTCCTGCATTTGCTTAGCTTTCTGACACAGAGAAGGCTGTTAGGGGAAAGGCAAGATGCTCTAGTAGAAGTCAGAGACCACCTATCAAAATAGCTGTTAGGTACAAGCCATGCATTTTTCAGGAGATACTTCTGAGGAGATTAGATATAAGATAATCCATTTTTATAAGGAAGGACAAAGCCAAAGAAAATTAAGTGGAAAAAATTGGTTTCCAAAACTGGAGTTCAAAAAATGACATGCAAGACCTGGTAGACCACCAAAACTGTCCCATCAGATAAACAGCAGTTAAAGCTTTCATTTTTGAGAGAGAGGAGAAAATCAAGCTCCACTCTTGCAAAAAAGAGCAAGAAACATATATTTAACAGTATATTACACAGAAGCCTTAACAACTGTGTTGCACTTTTGCTTTCATTCTTTTCAGACTCGCTTTCAGTTTCTTAAAGAAATCTGCAAGGATATGTTTCCACACCTCCAAAGGTTCAGTCTTAAAAGCTGGTTGATCATTTTCTGAAGCAATCCAAACACATTCAGTGATGTTGAGGTCTGGACTCTGGGGTGGTCAGTCCATTGTTCATCTTCTTTGTTTGATGTGTCTCCTTTTCTCAGTTAGGTCTTGAACAGCTACACATCCTTTCAGGCCCACAGCGCTGAGTTGTCTTCTCACAGTGGAAGGATGGACAGAAACACCTGTGGATTTTTTGCACATCTGAAGCAGCTTGATTTTCTACTCACTCTGAAAGATGGGAGCTTTAAGTGCTGTTTATCTGATGGGGACAGTTTTGGTGTCTACCAGGTCTTGCACAGTTGTTAGGAGTCTCGCTTTGTCTGTGTGTTTTAATAACTCCAGTTTTGGAAACTCCAAAACTTCCTTCCTTATGCAAGTAGATAATCTTATTTTTAATCTCAGAAATATCTCCGGAAAAATGAAAAACGTGTACTTAATGGCTGTTTTGACGGGAAATTAAATAAATGAAGGTCTATGACTTTTGCATAGTCCAGCACAGTACAAGAACGCCACAGTTAAAAAAAGTTCAGAAAGTTAGCAGCCTATCACAGCACCTGTAATATTTCTTGCTCTTTATTTCAGGCCTCTAAAGCCTTACTTAATTTACACAGTCAACTATACTGTATATATACACACTGTACAAGTGTATTATTAGTGATATTAGAACACTCCAGATCCAAGAAGGTGCAACATAAAAGCACTGAATATATCCACATCCTCCTTTTTCTGAAGTGTTGCTCGGTCACATACTTACTTGGTCTCATCATATGGAGTCTTGCAGATGCAGTAGAGCTTGGTGTCCTTCTTGCTTTCTCTTGAGGTAGTGGTGATCATCTTCTTCTTCTTCGTCTTGGCTGCGCTTTCGTCCTCTAGCTTGCGTTTTTGTGCAGGGAGAGTGGTCGTGACCTGGGCAGCAGCAGCAGCGGCAGCAGCAGCAGCGGTAGCGGCGGCGGCGGCAGCTGCAGCGGCCTGAGCTTGCTCTCTTTCTCGCTGAATCTTCAACAAGTCTTGCCTCAACTCCTCCTGTAGAGAGCATGCAAAGGACACAGTAATATGGTATTATAGCAGTCTAACAAATATACTCATGTAGTCATCAATGGTCTGCAAACTGGTCTCTGAAGTTTGTTTCTATAGCTTTGCGCCAGAGCTATGAGGCTAATGTAGCTAACAAGCAAGGGAAGTTTACACCCACCAGTTAGCCTTGTGACGACTGATATCTTAAAAAACAGACAAACAGATAAATGCTCTTTTTGTTTTTAGCTATGCGAGGTACTTCTGTCTGTTTTTGCAGATAACAGTGACCCTGTTTACACCTGGCTGTTTGATGTGACTTGTATCTGGATTATGCTATGTTGTGTATAATATGTAAATCAACTGGTAAAGTGTTGAGAATAATTAGCCTCCTGTATTAGTCATCACGACCCAAAAAGGTTAAAACGTAATGCATTGTAGTGAGATGGTGAATAATGACGAAGCTAAGTAAAGATTTACCAAACTGCCGTTTTGTTTTAATCCGCATATGCAGAACAGCACAGGGAGGAATCACAGTATTGGAAGTACTGTATACTTTTCTATTACTTGTTAGCTACATTAGCCTCATAGCACCAATGAAAAACTAAAAGACACCAAACATCTCTTGGCTGTTCAACTGTATTTGGCGTAAAAGAAAAACAGCATAGAAACAGCAGATCTTTTAAGTCTACCTGGTTTATTACATTATCTCTGATTTTAGATCCCCAGACTTACCTACAGGGCTACATTACCTTGAGTCTATCATTCAAACTCCCCTACCTATGTTACTTTATCTTGCCCATGTCACTTGCCCCACACTCACCTGGACCTCCTGCTGCAGCTGTCTGTCCAGCAGCGCTCTTTTCCTCAGGATCTCTGCTTTGAGCTGCTCTTTGCGCTTGCAAAGTAGGACTGAGAGTTTGCTGGCTGTTTGTTTGCTGCGTTTCTGCTCTACCGTCTCCTCCCGCTTCCGCTTCTTCGCCTCCTGACGCTCATCCTTATCGATCTTATCCAGGATGCACTTCATCACCTGGGCACACACGATCATCCTGGAAAAGATTCAGATCCACACTCAATTCTAAGCAAGGTGCTATTGATTTGTACAAATACGAATAATTATTTGGTAGATTCAGGGTTGTTCTGGGTAACTTGTGTTTGAATGTCAGTATGTGCCTTCACTCTAAATGCAAACCAAATTCAAAGAATTCCTGGACTAAATCCATTCTTGGAATTTGTATAAAATTCCACTGAAGCCACTGAAGTCAGGGAATGCGAATAAAATGTAAGTATGTAATTTTGTTGACTTATGTTGGTCTTGACGTTCCAAGATCAATATCTAATGGAAAGTTTATGACCTCAGTTGATTATAATCCGTTCAAACGGGCTCCACAAAACTACATCACTTCATACACCTAATAAAAGCATTAAATTCTGCAGGTTATCCTTAGAAGCAGTCACTAATTCTTTAACATACTGAAAATATAATATAATATAAGGCTAAAAATGATAGTCTGGCTAAAAATGTATGTTTTTAAACAAGAGCATGAAACCCATGCAGGTAAACAGTAGGTGAAGTAGGTGAAGCACTTAACATGGTAGAAGCCGTTAGCATGGTGAGGTGAACTACCACTCGAACCAAATGGGCTGGTTAGACACTAGAGGGCACTCCTGAGGGAGTCCCAAATAAATAAGTCTTTACAGAGCTTTTGTGCAATACTGTAATTTGTAAATGGTTCACTGTATATAGAATTAGCTCACCAATTTATTAGCAATTAGTAGTTGAAATGCCAACCAATCAACACTCAGTAACTGTAATGCCGACCAATCAGCACTCAGTAGCTGTACAGCCGACCGATCAGCACTCAGTAGCAGTTCAGCCAACCTATCAGCACTCAGTAGCAGTAATACCAATCAATCAGCACTCAGTAGCTGTACAGCCGACCGATCAGCACTCAGTAGCAGTTCAGCCAACCTATCAGCACTCAGTAGCAGTAATGCCAATCAATCAGCACTCAGCAGCTGTGACGCTAACCAATCAGCACTCAGTAGCAGTAATGCCAACCAGTCAGCACTCATTAGCTGTAATGCCAACCACTCAGTAGTCTTAATGCTAGCATTCTACAACGCAAAACAAGAAACACAGAAAAGTATTGGTAAGTTTTTATAGTTTTTTTAAAATGTAATATGCCATTCTACTTTCCGAAATTAAAGGTAATCCCTGCATGAAAGATTAAAACAATATTTAATTAACACTTTTAGCAATTTAGCTCCATTCACCCCATTCTTTAAAGACTTGCTTACACGTGCTCCAGTGTTTTGCAATAATTTCATGGTATAATGGAGAACTAGGAATAGTCAGGCTCCCCTTAGACTAGCACTGGTTATAGAAGACTAAAATGAAAAAAACGTGGTGGAAACAGTTGTAACATGTTAGCATGACTATAGGTGGCTACATGTAGAAACAGCTAGTTTCTACATGTTTTGTCTGAACTATCCCTTTAACTCCTGAAGCACATATTTACCCGTTTCAGGCCGGGAGAGCATGAGTGTGTGTTAGCAGGGCGTGTTTGTTATTTTATGTCGGAGATGTGTTATGGTGGCTGGGTGGGGGGATGTGATAGATACTCTTCCACTGGCTCTCACAACTCGGGCCGCATGTAGAAAAGGAAGGGGGTGGGATTGTGGGGGGGCACCAGCTGTGGAGGGCCAGAGGTCAATCGTGATTCCCAGACTCAACATGACACACAGCATGAAGTGTGGAGGGATGCAAGCAGAGAGAGGCAGAGAGCGAGAGAGGGACAGCCAAAGTGCTAAGAGAGGCTGAAACTGGGAGGACATTTGGTCAGCTCCAGGTGTAGTTTGGGTGTCTGTGGCTGAGTGTAATGCTGCATGCTGTGGTCCTGGGTTAAAACGGGGCTTTTCCAGCAGCCTCACTGCACAATGGAAAATATGACAAGCAGCGACCGGTCAGATGCAGGCTATACAGCAGGCACAGAGGGGACAGGGCGGGGTAGGTGTTGGAAGAGAATGAAGACTGATGGCATTAAAGCTGAGCAATATAGTTAAATATTATTCTACAATATATGTCTATATCGCCTGGATATCAATAATTACCCCTATTTATTATATGAAGTTCCTGATGCTTCAGTTTTATGCCTGAAGAGTGTTTTAGAACCACGAAGCAAAAAAATGTACGATTTCAAGGGAAATTCCATTGATTTTTTTTTTTTCTCATGAATTTGGTGGTTGAGATGTGAACAAAGTAATTCAGAGTAGTTTGATGTAAAATGATTCATGGTAGAGAAGCTTTATGATTTAATGATTTCTTTGAAGTAGTGGTGACAGGAACCAGGGGTTGCAAAATCTACAACGCAAATATAGTCATTTAATTCACTATCCAAATCACCAGTGTACCTACATGCATCTTCTGAGCTTTCATAGGTAATGTTGAGGACAGTAAAATAATGGCAAATCTAAAAAGTTTTCTATGGGTGCTATTTTGCCTTACAACACCCTGCATGAACACCTTTTTTCACCAAAAATGGATTTTACAAATAAATTTTATACCAAAACCTTCTCAAATCTACACTGACCAGCCACTTCATTAAGTACACCTCATTATATCTACACTCACTGGGCCTCATTCACCAATATGTTCCTTTTATCCTAAATGTGTCCTTTTGAAAGGTCCAAAGAAAAAGTCTACATCAGATTCATGACGTGTTCTTAAACCACAGAATTTTTCACACATTTGTGCTCGTGTGTGTGTAGATTCTGTTCTTATCTATGAACAAATCTCAAAAAAAGAAAAAAAAAAAAAAGAGTAGTTGGTGAATAAAGCCCATTGTCCATTTTATCAGCTCCACTTACCATATATGTGAACTTTGTAGTTATACAATTACAGACTGTAGTGCATCATGTGACCACCGATGAAAGACTATAGGAAAACCAACACAGACTGTCCAGCAAAGATGAGCTACTGTCTCTGACTTTATATCGGGACTAAGAGTATAGGAGAGTCTAATAGAGTGGACAGTGAGTGGAAACATTGTTTAAAAACTCCGGCGACACTGCTGTGCCTGATCCACTTGTACCAGCACAACACACACTAACACATCACCACCATGTCAGTGTCACTGCAGTGCTGAGAATGATCCACCACCCAAGTAATACCTGCTCTTTGGTGGTCCTGACCATTGAAGAACAGGGTAACAAAGTATGCAGAGAAAAAGATGGACTACAGTCTGTAACTGTAGAACTACAAAGTGCTCCTATATGGTCAGTGGAGCTGATAAAATGGATAAGGTGTGTAAAAACAAGGTAGGTATACTTAATGAAGTGTGAAGGACCTTTTAGGGGCATTAAACATTTTTGATGTCTGGTTCCTATCACTACCACTGTGAACAATTCTGACTACTTTAATTTTCTCTGGAACTGGGAATTTTACATCAAAACACTTGAAACGACTAATTACATCTTAATCATTTAATTATGTAGACATGTTCAAAAACTGGAGAAAATTATCAAGAAAACAGATCCAATTCTGAAATGCACTGGATGTTTTGTCACCATCTGAGACACTGTCCTCTATTTCACAGCCTTTTAACTCTCCATAATCTACAAAAGCTCTAACTTCTGACTGGTGCCATAACACCTTTGGGGGACAGTGGTGAGTAATGTTTGTTTGTGTTCCAGCTGTTTCTGCTGTAAGTTGAGAGCTACTAAGTGTTGACATCTAGGAAGCAAGATTGTTAATCAGTCAATTTGGCCATTTTAGGCCTGTACTTTAATAGTTGCATGACAGATCTATTGCCACCTATTATACCAAAGTAGCAACTGTTTCAAAAGTTCAAATATTCAAGCTTTTGCTGGAAATATAAGATTGAGGAACAGAATAGAATGATAATTTTATCAGAAATATCTGAATAATCATCTATTTATCGGTCCAGCATGTTCCAAAGTTGAAGAAAGACAAGGAGGTAAAGAGGGGTATGAGTGCACTGAGTGGTCTAAACGTGCACATGGTACAGCCAGACTAAAAGGAAGTGAGGTGTACCAGGCAGAAAAGTAGTACTAGACTCACCTCTGATTCTCTTCTCGCTCTGCAGGTGTCACGGTCTTCTTCTGCTTTAGGTTCTCAATCACTGCATTCTGCTTCATCACTACCTGCAGAACACAGAACCAAAAAAATGTGCTCATTCCGTAACAAATGCACTCACAAAGAAACCAAACGAATGCTAAGACAATGTTTTCAGAATTTGTTTACACAGTAAACAGTGTTCAAGAAAAAAAAAAGATTAGAATAACACACAAGAGGTCTGCATTTGAGTCCCACCGAACCCACCACACTAACTTGCAGCGTGGGGGTTAATTTTCAGTGTCATGTGCAGAAGCAGCTGGATAACCAGCCCAGTGCAGACATGATAAGAAATCCGACAATTTAATAAAAAGCTTAAATAGTTTAATTACAATCACTTAAATAATTAGAATATATAGAAGGTTTGCGTTTTTCTCAGAGTGCGTCTGGCTGTCCAGCGACGTTGCGTGAGCAGCAGTTTGAAAAGATGGCTGGATTCACAGGGCTCTGAGGAAGGCTGTGCTAGCCTTCGCCTTCCTAGTGCTGGTGGTATCTTGTGATTGGGGGAGTCCTAACTAGTGGGCAAAACTGAATATGACTAAATTGGGGTGGAAACTGGGGAAAAAAAGAAATTTATAAATAGTATCTAACGGCAAAACAACAATAATACACTCATTCTAAGCAGTTGTGAAGCAACCAATCACTTGAACAACATGTAAATTGCTTTATTGTAGGCCATGGAAACACTTGAGCCTTCAGGTAGTCAGAGAGCCACAGCTGCGGAAAGTGTTCTTAAGAAGGTGAATATATGGCAGTAAAGCCAAATAAATGTGAGTCTGATGTAGCAGTCATTTTCAGTCAAGACTAATGCAGATGGAAACCAGCTATATGATACTGTGGGTGGGAGCATGACAAGGGGGTGCAGATTTTCTGTGGGACCTGGATGAAATTTGCAGGAAGGGGACAAAAAAAAAAATTGGTCCTGTGCAGACCTCTGTAACACACGTGCATGCACGTGGGCAATCACTCTCGCCACTGTCTGCATACACATACAGTAGGTTGAACGTACACATACGTGGAAAAAAGCACATAAACATACAGCAGCAGCGTTGAAAAATAAACGCAGACAAGTGACCTCGGTCATGGGAGTCAGCACCACTGTTTGTATCAGTGTCACTCAGAGGTCTCTGTGGTTCAGCTCATCTGTAGGGACTTCCCTCACATCAGACCTGCCTGTGTGAACCTGCTTTGCTTATGCAAGAATGTAACTTAGTAGGCTCTGTGGTGCAGCTCGTCTCTGGGGCCGTCACAAACCTGCTTTAAATGAACTTGCTCTGGTTTTGTGCATGTGTAACTCAATAGGCTCAGTGGTGCAGCTTGCTTGTGGGGCCCTCTTCTCACATGTGCTCTGTATATTTGCTCTGACTGGGCCTAGAGGTGTAGCTTGTGTGCGAGGCCCTTTCTCTCTCACCTGTTTCTGTATGAGCTCACTACGGCTAACAGCTTGCTGCTGCTGCTGCTCCCTCTTTGCCTCCTGTTGCTGCCGTTTCTTCTGCTGCTGCTGCTCTCGGAGTTGCTGGATCCTCTGGAGCTGCTCCTGGACGCTGGCTGTCTGTAAAGTCACCACATTCTGGATCTGGTGGGACTGCGTGCCTGCTTGACCTGCCACGCCTTGCTGCTGGATCTGTATGGGCAGCTGCAGTTTAAGGGGCTGCCCTGGTGAACCACCCTGCTGGGACTGCAGCTGGAACTGCAGCCCTGGCACTGTGATGAGCTGAGCCCCCTGAGGCAGCTGCACTTGGGGCCTCACCTGCACTGTGGGGCTCATCTGAGGCTGTTGCTGTTTTAGGTTGACCTGATTAAGAGTGGTTTTGACCTGGAGTGGAGTGGGGGACTGGATAGGCATCTGGGCTTGAGGGTGGGGAGGCATTTGGGCCTTGGGGGCTGTAGGCGGGGTTCTGGGGGCGAGAACTCCAGCCTGAACCGGGGCTGCAGCCTGCTGGGCAGGCTGTGCGGGGGAGGGGGCACATGGCTGTGTTTGACCTGGTGAACAGAGAAGGAACATTAAAATGAAAAGACACAAATTTAAAAGTGAGCTCACACAGTTTCACAGCACTTTTAAAACAGTGGTTCTTACTTATAAAAATTTATTCCAAGGAAAAGGCATTTATCACACGTGTTCTCGTCTTTTACAGTGCCATGAAACAACTGAAGCAGCGGTAACACTGCTCCAATGCCAGGCATTGGTAGTGGGCTGGTATCTGAAGAAAATGCCTTTAGATGCTCATCTAGAGTGACATGTTTCAGTTAAGAATAGCTAATTTTAAAGCTTAGTAATTCTTTAAGACAACGTATCTTATTAGCTGATACTAAGTTGATACTCAAGATTTCAGTATCATGCCATCTTTAAGAGCCCCTATCACTCTCTACACTTCCTGTAGTGTATTGCAGTCATAGGTGGGAAATATAATGATATTTTATTGTCATTGTGATCAATTTTGTTAGCGTGACAAACAATATGCTTCTCTGACTGTATCGAGGATATCATCCATATTGACTGTCCATACTTAAAGACTATTTACATGTTTGATTAAAAAAAGAACATAATTAGTCCTGCTTTACTGGATTTAATGCAGTGCAGTATGTGAAATCATGAGTAAAAGTCACTGTAGCCAGATTTTTGGATGGCAGTTTATAAAATGTGGCACTATTAGGGAATTATGTCTGTGTCAAAATATAATGACATGTATTATGTATCATGAAAATGCCTTAAGTGTTGTGATTCCAATACTCTGACCTGTCAAAATAACTTTGTATATATAAAAATTATGAAGCATTCTAGAAGGCTTTTATTTTCCAGAAAATGTCAACTTTTTGCACAGATGACTTTGTTGACTCATCACTGCAGCCTTAGAACTTGGGATCCCCTCCTGCTCTGACATATTTCCTATATAAAAAACAATGAATCTGAGAGCCTCCAGATCTGAGGGAGAGTGTTTTTTTTGTAGTACTGGGGTTACCTGGTGTCGAGGGTGTGGTGCTGGTGGCCACTGAAGCAGGTGTGAAGAGGAAGCGTTGCATCTGGCCATTGGGTAAAGCAGCTTGCATGAGCTGCTGCCCGGGTCCAGGAATCACCGTAACACCGTGAGGGATCACCTGTAGCTGACCTGTTGTCTGGCCCTGACCCTGAACCATCACCGTCACACCCTGACCTCCAGCCTGCAGAACACCATTAACAACATTATACACAGTTTTTATGTTTTAAAAAAGGCCAAAAAATTACAACTGATCATTGATAAGATTATTTTTGTCTAATATTACACTTTATTTAATGATTTAAAGCATTCACTGTGACAAATATGCAATAACAGAGAAAATCTGGAGGGGGACAAATACTTTCTCACGGCACTGTATAGAATACACACATACGTGCACATCATGAACTGGAGGTTAGAAATAGCACCAACCTGTTGCCTTTCCACCACTGCTCCTTGCTGCTTCTGAGACAAAAACAAACAGCAGGAAGGAAAATTAGATCAGAGAGCGCCGCTAGATTATAGACATTTAAAGGCTAATCACACACAAAAGCTACGGAAATATTTTTTTCTACAAAAGCTGGCCTTGAAAAACGTGGTGTGTATTGTCATTAGATGACATTCTGGGGGAAAGTTTGTAGCCACCACAAATTGTCCACACCCAGGCGGTTTGCAGGGAAACACCTGTTGGGAATATTTCAGATGCCCACTCTCTGTTTATTCGAGTCAGTTTTTCCTCTATCTGTCCCAGGACATTTGTCATGTCTTCCCTTTATGGACAGCAGAACGGCTGACAGTCACATTTGGAATAAAGTAGTGCTTGTGTAGTTCATAAAGGCTTTTTAGGGCACTCCTCCATCACATATTAAAACCCTGCATGCTTAAGAACACCATACTAGACTCAAACACAGCCTGTAGTTTTTAATTTAATCATTTAGGTCTGAATCTTACAACCAGGTGTCTGAGACTGGTGATAAGATCTTCAGGAGAAGCTGTAACTACATTCTGTAAGAAGCAGGGCTGCAACCATCACAGGTACAAGCAGAAAATGGGTAATCACAATAAAGCATGACCGCTCTAATGATTTTGTACAATAGTTCGGCAAATAAAGAAAAAAGTAAAGCAAAGAACTTTTCTTTTCCTTCCACCAAAAAAGTTGTTCCAGCAGATAACTGCAAAACTCATGTTGTTTTAACTTGGCAGCTGGTGGTCAGTGGAATGATATTTGTGTGTTATCAGATTTAACAACTCAGGTAGAACACTTTTCAACCAATCAGGCCATGTGGTCTGACATGTAAAAGAGTGAACTACTCAAAAAAACTACTCTCTGATGTTTGGTAGAAACAGTGGAAATATATTTTTTTCCGACAAAACAACATGTTGACACACTTATCACTGAGGGGAAAATACTATGTGTAAGACAACGAATCCATATCAGCAAGCTGTCGTTTAGCTGTCTGAAGAGGCAGCCTTGGTTACTCAGCTGACACGAAAACTACTGACTTTCTTGGACAGTTTTTGAATTAAAAGGCTGATTTCACATGCATTCCTCTGCTCTAATTTTGCGCTACTGATTTTTAACACCAGAGCTATCATCTAAAACAGTAAACCTCTTCAGCTGAGGTATTTTTACTCTCCGTTTTTAACCGTTTTAACTGTTGTGAGTACTTGATTAGTGAAATTAGTCAGAATGCACATCACTACTCTCCACAAGGTTGATTTGAGACTACAGTCTGCAGCACAGTGCATCCACAGTCATAGAACTCTGATTTTGTCAGGTTTGTATGCCTCACCTGTGTCCCCTGAGTGAGCTGGGTGAGTTGGGCGAGGGTGAGTTTGACCTGCCCCTGGGAGGGCGTGTGGGGTGTTGTTTCCACAACTCGAGCGCTGCTTTGAGGACTGCCAGGGGTGCCAGGTTGCCCCCGGATTATCTGGGTCACTACTTGACCAGCCTGACCTGAAAGGAGAGACATATACACAGTAAGACCAACTTGCAGAAAAAACTCATTGCTCATATGTGATGTTTGAGTTGTTCAGTAATCTCAAACAGCCTTGTTTATCTGGCTTCTGATGCTGTATGACATACTGTTATCTATAAAATAGACAAAAGCATGTTGCATAGCTAAAACCGTCGGAATAACCATTTTAAAGCCTGATTTTCTCTGTACTTTGGTCAATTTATAGACAACTTGCAGGCTGACGGTCTGTCTTTTAATACCTGTTAGCTACATTTGCCTTGTAGCATCAGTGCAAAACTAAAGAAGCAAACATGCCTTTGCTGACTGACTATATGTGGGATAGGTTTTTCACCAAACTGTGTCTTAAAATGTTAAACTGTAATGTAAATTAGAACTGCAATAATGATTACTTAGTGAGGAAAACTAAAGTTTATGGAATTAAACAAAACAGAGTGGGATGGAATGGAACTGAACTAAACTACACTTACACAAATTTCTTGTGGAAACCACAACGTAAATTCACCTGACCTAAGACCAGCTGAGTGAACATTTGTAATGAGGGGCCATACTAATCCCAGAGGAGTCCTATAAGAAGATAAGCTTACCTTGCTGGACCACGAGGGGTGTTCTGAGGATGGTCTTGCCCAGAGTGGCCCCTTGCTGGACTGGGGCTCTCAATACAGTCATCCCTGGTCTGAGCTGCGCTCCGGTCGTTATTACCTTAAGAGAGAAATTATTTGAAAAAACAATATTTTTTTATAATTATTAGAATGTATCAATCAGGAGATTTTTAATAGTAATAAGCGTACTGTAAATGAAAAAAATGCACCAAAGATTTGGAACATTTCACCTATTACTTCCCACAGACACCCACCATCAGATTTAAAAAGCAGCTGAAAGCAGTTCTATTTAGTTATTATTAGCTCTCTTTTTACTTTTATATGTTCTTTTTTACTTATGCTGTTTTATAAGCATTTTAAACAGCATTTTGTGCATGAAAGGTTCTATAAAAATGTGATTATGTTTATTAATACATGTAACTATTAGTTCCAGGTGTGATGAATTTGTTGTTGCTTGTAGAGGGAGTTAATGATAATGAGTAATGCAGAAACATTCACGTAGATGCACTGATTTTCTTTGTATATTGTTGTGTTACTGTCTCAGTAAGGGAATATGAATGTTCCAGTGAGTGAATAACGATCTGGTATGCGACCTTGTAACTTTCATTCAAAAAGGGAGTGCCTGATAGATAAAAGGAGCCTGTGCAAGGGTGCGTGTCCATGTGGAGAGAAGAGAACAGCTGTTTTATAGTCAACATCTCAAGAGAACTTTGGCTTCACTATGTATTATTGTGCCTTTTCACTGTGTCTCCAAACAGCCAGGAAAAATCAAGAAAGATCAGCTCCAACAGGGTGAATAAAATCTGTATTGTGGTGTGTAAAGCAGTAAGCATGGTAGCTAAGCCAGCACTAGCACAACAACTAGCACTACTCAGAGTGCCCTAGTTAAACGTGAGCTATGATTTGAATATTTCTGCATAATTCAGTCACTAAGATTTAAACCAAGTCATTCAGAGAGGTTTTACATGAAATGTTTGACTGAAGATTTGTTTACAGTGGTGGTGATAGGAACCAGGCGTCACCATGTCTACAACACAAATATAGCCATTTTATTTACCATCCAAAACCACCAGTAAGCCTACACGCGCCTTCTGAGTTATATATGTACTTCGATAACGGTAAGTTAGTGATAAATCTGATTATTTTGCCTTACAATATCTTGTGTGTATCTCTCCTCTAAGAATGGGTTTTAGAAATATTTTTTAGGTTAAAACCTTACATCAGAACTACTATAAATCAATGTCTCAGACATCCATCAGTGTATTTATAACAACTTCATGTAGAAATTATCTGTGAGGGAGCTTTTAGGGGCATTAAACTATTCAGATTTTGGTTTCTATCACTACTATTGTGAAAGAGTATTTGATCATCATTTGTGTTTCCCCTTTATTAGTGTTTAATATATTGCATTTGCAGTTATTAGACGATGGTTTAATATTTATTGAATGATAAATTTAAAAATAATGCTTGTTTTTCACCCGTTCATTTGAATTGAAAATTGTACTAAAACTATTTGGGAGTTTATTAAGTAGACGTGGAACACAAAGTTTACATTATCATGGTTTTTACATACTATTATATTATAATTTAATTTATTCTTTTTATTTTCAATGTTTTGGTTTTTAGTATTATGGTGAATATTCTGTCAGAAACTGCACATTTAAAGCAATTCTAAATTAGCGTTCATTACACATTAATTTTTTCCCTTTGTAAAACTGCTTTTAGTTTTTGGGTTTCTTAAACACTGATGTTTCTATGTTTATTACAATTAGCTATTATATTTTTTCCACAACAACTTTCCTGGCTAGTGTTAGCTTAGCTAATGTAAGGGCACAGTACATGTACACTTTAGTATTTTGTACACTTGCAACTTTTCCTATTTGTGTAATAAAACCACTTTCTTGTCATTTATCAACGATACATCTGAGACAGTCATATATATTCTTATTTCCATTAAAACGGTGGGCAAGACTGTCTAAGCTGAGTTCAAACATCGGATTTGTGTAAATAGTGACCGTCCCTCAGCACTACCTGAAAATGGCGGCTGGGGAATGCGAATGTGAATGGGGTGGGGAAAGCTTTTATGACCAGTTATAATGCATTTTAGTACGTTTAAACATTATATTTGACACTCCAACGAATATTAAACAATGGATTATCACCATGAAACACAGTATGTTTAATACTGAGTTGTTAATCTAAGTCTACACCATCAGCTAAGCTACTTTAGCAGACTCCTTGCAGCTGCGCAGCTTCACACCAAGACCTCACTTTACACTGTTTATATTAATTCAATTTTTAAAAATGTATAAACAGTTAATGACCATTTTTATGCAATTAGGAAAACACTGTACGGAAAACCGATCCTTCTGTGGAAGCTGGTATACAGAAAACTGATGACACACATGATATTATTTCCTATTTCTTTAAAAGTATTGGCCCAAATATGACCAATCAAAATGTGTTTTGGTTGCTAGTCCAACCAATCATTACATCCTATATGACTTTGGTATTTCTGCAATAACTACTGAAATGCCGGAGTACTGTACGGAATACTGCACTCTTATGTTAATTTGATATCAACTCTGCTCCCCACAGAACAGACTCTATTCTGGCCAAGTCCACCGAGTGGTGCTGGATCGACAGATATCTGAAAGGAAAGGTTTCTCCTTGGTTAGCATAGCTAGGGGATTACAGGTCCAAACAGTACCACAAATCACAGTACAGCTTCGATTCCAACTAACTGACACAAGTGTAGACGATAAACTCATGTCTGAGAGAGTGAAGTCAGGTGAATGATGTTGGAGTGACTCAAAGCTGGAATCAAACCTGTTCTGTGGTGCTTGGAGCTGCAGTGTGCTAATGTTAGCTAAGCTAAGGCTAGCTTACTTAGTAGGCTAAAAGTGCCACACAGAACAGTACAGGCTCGGTTCCAGCTCAAATGGCACACATATAAAAGACGAAAGGTCATATCTGGGAAGACAATGTTGAGTGTATGGTGTTTAAGCGACAGAAAGCTTAAATTAAACAAGCTCTTTGGTGTGTGCAGCTGTTAGCCCGTTAGCCTTGGGTGAGCCACAGTGGATTACAGGTTCCCTTACGAATTTTCTGGTCATGGGGCAGGATTTATAAAGCTTTCTTAATAAAAATATTGCAAAGATTCATAAGATAAACAATAAAAAGTTCATAAGAAAGTTCTTAAAACTTTTTTCTTAAGAATGAAGTTAAGAAAAAATACATTTAAGAAGATTTTCTTTCTTAAGACACTTTAAGTTAATTCTGCTCCTGATTTAGCAGTACAGCGTGGGAAAAGAGTCATAACTAGTTTCACAAATCTGTGGGAACCATTTGGCACAACACTGGAAAGGAGGCCACTGTATGTACGTACCTGTTGTGAAGGTGTTCCCGGTGCGTTGGGCCTGATGTTGATGGTGGCCGTTGCTGGCTGGAATGTGGTCATGGTTTGCTGGTTGCCAGCGGTGCTGGATGGAATTATGCCAACAACCTTCTGCTGTACACCTGAGAGACATGCAGACTCACATTAGAGACACTCACTGCAATCTGAAGCATTTCGTAAAACAAGGCTTTTTTGCCCAAATTCCGAGGACTGCACATTTTTGTGTTTCTGCTGTTTCTACACCCCCATTTCAGTCATGAAGGGCCTCATAATTACCAGATGAATTCAGTTTGGTGTGTTAGAGGAAAAGACTCAAAAATGTGCACAGGCATCCCCGAACGGAGGACAGGGAACCAGTATTCTAAAAAGACATAAATTCCACTTTAATGAGGTTCAGAGGGCCCAGCTGTACTCAGTTTTGATTATGCAGATTCTTCACAGCAGGGAGAGCATGTCCTCATGCACTAGTGTAAGAACATATTAGCATCCAATGGTGGAGGACTGTGTCGTCTTCTGTGGTATCCAACATAGCAATGGCTGAGTGGGAGCAGGCATATCACTTGCCTTATGGTAGCTGTTTTTGGCGCGATTATGTACATATAAGGATGTTGAATGGTGAACAATGACTATTAGGTCTTCATTTCAGGCCATACATTTCAAAACAAAAAGAAAAAAAAAATAAAAACAAGAAAAAGAGGATAACACCATTTTGCTAGCATCCCTATGGATTTTCCTATTACTAAGCTAATGCTGGCGCACATGAAATTTCTGTGACCATTCTAAATTAAACACGGACATTTAAAACTTGTAAAATACATATAGATTACTAGCTGACTGACAGAAACCTAAAGGTTCTGGTACAGTGGCAGTGACGTATCTAGAACCTCCAGACGGCCTAAACAAAATTTCACACAAAATTGGTCCCACCCATTTGAAAAGATTTTAATCCATTTGTGTCCAACCAAAACTTACAATGAAAAAAAGTATTACTTCAAGTTACTGTAACGTTTAAATACAACAAGCATGCTAATATGATTAAATAAAGATGAACTAAAAATAAAGACATCACAGTATTTTTAGTTTAGTCAGAAATTATTAGGCCTTCTCTGAAGTCCTCGTAAGCTGTGAGGGATAAGATAAATGATAAATCACTAAATAAATCACTAAATCAACTAAGCAATCAGGTACAGATCACCTCTAATGTTCAAAGCAAGCACTAAACAAATGTTAAACCTTACACATTTTTGGTGTTTTATACAGAATCATGTATTATCTAGTTGGAATATAATATCTGTTTAAAAAATAATACCTGTTTTAACAAATAATATCTGTTTAAAAATGTGAATATTCAAAACATAGTTAAAATGGACAAAATGGTTCAAATGCCCTTTCTATGGTTAAAACACAAACCCTAAATGTCCTGTTTAATATGCAAAGTGCATACCAAAGTCAAGCAGGTTGAAAGAAAAAAAAACACACACTACTATTCACAGAAATTAGTGAATTTATTTCCATCAGAACCTTCTCTAAGCAAAACAATTTCTTTAATATATAAGTATATTGGATAGTTCTTCTGTGATTGGATCAAACCAGCTCAGGTGCAAAAGAAGCACTGGTTGACAAACTTCTCCGAACTTTACATATTTCTTTCTTAGCAGTTTCGAGTCTTAGGACACACCCAATAACACTCCTGCCAAAGAGCTACAATGTATCATCCCTTAATCCAAGACCACCCATCTACACAACCATCTGAAATACTCAAGATTAAAGAAAGCCTCTCTAGCTGAACCCACTGTGAGGTAGTTCTTTTTCCCCCTGAAGATTACATAAAAGTGACTTTTCACAATGTCTCTTCACTAAAATCTGTATGAATCAGGGAAGGTGAAGGTCTCCTCCAACGAGTATTACGCCTACAAAATCAATAGTTTGAATATTTGGCACAACTCACAGTTATTTTAAAAGCACTGCAAACAATAAAAGATTTAAACTACTTGGCATCCACACAGTTACAGAAATCCCTTTAATTAGTGAATTCAATCTATATAATCTCCATAGAAAAGCACTGACCAATAAAATGGGATGCCCTGGAGAGACATGAGCGTATGGTCATCATGCCCAAGGCCAAGCACAATCTAGTGCGGTGTAGAGCCCCCAGCATTGGGCTGTGGAGCAGAGGAACTGCATTCTCTGGAGTGATGGAGCTCCATCAAACACCTTTGGGATGAGCTGGACTGTCCAGAACTGATCATCCAACAACAGTACCTGACCTCACTAATGCTCAATCAAATCCTCACAACAATGTTCCAACACCTAGAGTAAAGCCTTCCCAGAAGAGTAGAGGCTGTTACTGCAGCAAAGAGGGGCAAAACTCTCTATTAATATCCTTCATTTCAGAAGAAACGCAAAATGAGCAGGTATCTATAAACCTTGAGCCATATAGTGTGATTATACAGTAGTGAAATGTAGACAACAACAACAATATTGATTTTAACATTGATGCAATCAACACCTTCAGACAGACACCTGAAGCTCCACCACAGTTTCACCTCTGCACCCCAAACCGGTGCTTTAGAGGAGTGAAAGCATCTCAAAAAGGGTCTGAAAGTTCATTTCTGGACTACACCTCAATGGATCATTTGTGTGGTGGGTCCCTTTTAACGTCCTTTGATGGTTGCCATGGTAAACACTGGCGGAGCAGGTAAACAGGCCTCTTCAAAGAGCGAATGAGATCTGAGCAGGGGCGGGGCAAACTTATGAATGATGCATGAATCGGCTGAATTCATTCGTCTTGATTTTTAGACACACACCGGGAACGTTTCATCTTTTAGCATTTCGCATCTGGACTTCCCTAAATGATGAGGAGAGAACGACAAATTCACTCAAACTGGAGGATGAAAAGAAATTCTCAGGGATCAAACGCCAGCCCACCAACTGTCCTCTCCCACCACTTCTTTTTCGGTGGCTTAAGAGTAACCGCAGCTTGTGGCTCCAACAGGAAATTCACCAAAACATGGCAGTCCTCCTTAGAGCATGTAAACACCGTTAGGCCTGATTTCTCTGCCACGGACTGACTGCTCTCCCGTGCTGCTCTAGTGCCTAAAGAACTCAGCCAAATTTTCTTTTACTTTCTTGCCAGCAGAGTATTTTTTGTTGTTGCTTTTTTAAGGTTTTGAAAATATTACTGGATGAATGTGCTTGAAGTCATGATATCATTGCATTATTTTATTCCTTGCAAGCGAGGTACAATTTTACAAATGAAGCGTTAAAAAAAAGGTGAAAATACAAGTTTAACAATAATATTTCACTGTAAATCAATTAGTTTCACACTTAGGTTTATTGTTAAGGTCAAAGTTCAAATTATGTAATTTAATCTTTTTCCGCAAAATAATTTTTAGATTTTAATGTAATATTCCTAATTTCATGCCAAACCTATGATTTATCCATTTTAGCACACAGTTTTTGAACCTACAGCATAAGGTCAAAAATTTTAAATCCTTTTTGACCTTATATTTTTTTAAAGGAACTAAGCCTATTTATTTCCTATATTTTCCTACATAAAGCACAGTTATATATAATTAAAATAACATTACTGTCCAAAGAAAAACAAGGATCTCCAAAACGGTAACTTCACAGAAGGCAAAACATCCTTTACTTCTAATGCAAGTTAATGCAATGAGATTTAATTCCATTTTTTCTTTTTACTTTTATGACTCAAAAAGTCAAAAAAATTGAAACTCATTCCTCATATCATGCCGTCCCATTATTGATTATGTGAATTTTTAGCCCATTAAAATTGGTATCAGTCATAAAATGTCATTTCAGCGAGGCCCTAAAAGAAACAGCAACTCATCAACTAGAGACCCACAGCCTACCAAACACTCCACTTCAGAGACTGAAAGCTGAAGCTGGAGGTTGGGTGGGGTTCACCTGTGGCCCAACATCAAACAGCACTCTCTGGATGGATGGATGGAGGTGGTAAGCGACACTCTCCTCCAAAGCGTTTAGACGGAAAAGAGCAGAAGGGATTCTCTATGCAGTCAGGTTTACCTGCACCACACTCACCGGCCCGGGGGAAAACTTGTTTTCATTCTGACTTCCTTCAGTTTCTCCAGAACAAACACGCCACCTGAAACGGCTGGGCTGGAAAAACACACACCCGTCTGTTACAAGCTTCCCCTCTCACTCTCTCTTACATGCACACGCTCCCTACTCTCTAACAAAATACATCAATCGCTGAGCGGGAGTCGGGTTTAATAGGTCATTTAGGTGCTTCACACAAAGCAGAAGTTTTACCGCATGTGTGAATACGAGGGGCTGGCCTGAATAGCATTTTACAGTCACTCACTCACTGGAATTCCCGAACAAGTACTTGTTCTCAAAACAATGATATTTACATTACATAACAGGCCTGGCTGATAGGGTGATATAATCGGATATTGTTGACGATTGACAAGATCCTGATGGTGATGCATAAAAGGCAACTGCCATGTTGGAATAGAAAACAGAGAGAGAACTAGAGAGGCCTAACTTACAAAGCTTGCTAAACATGTTGGAAAACTGGAGATCACGTTCGTTTAACAAGTGTGCAGACACCTTGTCCAAATATTCAGTTTTATTTTTTTAACAAAAAGAGAGAGAGAGAGAGAGAGAGAGAGAGAGAGAGAGAGAGAGAGAGAGAGAGAGAGATGTTAAGAAGCTGGCTAGTAGTTTCTCTGTTATGGAGAGTACTGCTAGTTTTACCTACTAAACAGCTACTACTTCTACTTGTTTCACTTTATATTAAATTGTTACTTGAGTACATATAGAGTAAAGTCATGCTACTAAAGTTCAACTTGCCTCAGATCGGCATTAAAACTATCAAGCTAAACTGACTGGGTATTACCATAGAGCAGCTAGCTCTAACCCAGAACCTTTAGTAAAGAATCTTCCTGATCCCCAGCTACGTGCAAATTTAAAAAAATATTAAATAATATGCACACAAAATATTTTATCGCCCAGGTCTATTGCATGATAAAGTATAATTTTAAGTATGTACATTACTGCAGTTTAAAACATATACAGCATGCAGCAAAAGCATATCAGTCGTCAGGCTAAAGCCCAGCTACAAGTTGCTATGACAGAA